TGTGCAAGAAATGTGTGCCTTACCACATCCCTGTGGTAGCTGAGAAAGGACCCTGAGAGACAGAGCCCAGGCCAGACGACACACAGCCTGCAGGCCTGGAAGCTTCCACGGCTGGCCGTCCATCAGACGACTGTGCACTGCAGACACATACTGCCTCTCGGTCAGCAACGGCAGTGCCTGGAGCAGATCTAGAGGAACACAACCACAGAGATAAAAAACACTGAAACCAAAAGCAATCTTATGCACAGAAATAAGTAGTGAGTTCAGTCAAAGTTAAAATCATAGACATATGTATTTAACATGTTCTCACCATCTCTATCTTCTGTTCCCTGTTCTACGAAGCTGACATCCAAGCAGTAGAGCAATGCCATGACCAGAGCCAGGTTCACGCTGTCCAATGAGCCATCAGCTTGAGCTGTCACTGTCTCCAGGTGGCCAATAAGAGCCAGGGTGTCATCTTTAGTCAAAGGTGATTGGCAGGTCCATGAAAATAGGCTGTCTGCCAGGGCCTGTCGGGATTCCTTGATGAGGTCAGAGACCTGGGGGGGCAAGAAAGGGAGTTAAACGCAGTCCGTATTCCTCTCTGTATATTCCTCCACTCCATGTTTCTACTTCAGCTACAATAGAAAGCTACTGACTTCACAACAAGTTTGACAGACAATGCGAAGGTGATTATCTCTTTTTCAAATAAACCCAAAAGATTTGCTCACACCTCTTTCCTGTGCTTCTCGTTGCCCAGTCCGCGCTCCTTCTGCAGCCGCTCAAACTCACGCGTCACATTAATCTCTGACACCAAGGTTAATATGCGTTTGGTCAGACCCTGGTTCATCAGGTCATCTGTAAATCGTGTTGTCAAAGCCACCAGTTCTCCACTGAGTGAGACAACAAAAAACAGTACAGGTCATTAACAAGAACACATGGATTTGAGGATGAAAAACACACAACAGAATTACTACATGCGACTTTAAAACCACTTGGAAACTAACACCTATTTCCAGGAAAAATGCCTAAAACATCTAACCCATCATCCTGTAGATTTTAAGGCAACTGAATATCTTATACACCTGGAATGCACCTGTAACTGTAAATTCTATGAAAAGAAACTAATTTACAACAGTTATTTCACAATTTAAAAAAAAATTACATATTTACTTTTTACATGTTCACTTTTATTGGCAGTTTTCTTTAAAACATTATTCCTGTCCAAATAACAAAGCTTCCAAAACACTGAAATATTGATGAAAACAGGGGGTATTACGCAATACCAAGACGGCGGCCCGGGCAATCACATAGAAAACAGCTCTTTTTGGATTGAAAAAAGCAAAAACGGCTGTAACTGTAAATGTACATTGTGGTGCGTTTGTTGTTGTTGTTATCCGGCTAACAACTCTGTGAGTTTTGTTATTTGAGTGATATGAGTTACACAGCTGATCAGGGCCGGAGCTGAGAGATATCTAAGATGCAATAACTGCTGACATGTACAGATTTTTTTAGAGCGATTTATGTTGTGATATAAGTTCATTTAGATGCTTGGTGTTTGATGTGTGTTTGGTGTGGATAAAAATGGCTGGTTTGACGTTCTGGCTGAGCCTCCTAGCTTCACAGAGGTGTGTGGCATGCATACAGTAAATACTAGGATCAGTCATGGATTTCTCATTTCATTTTGCGCAAAAATCGATCATCCTGTCCAGTACTTCAATGGTTAAAGCACGTCATTCTTTGAACATACTACTTAGACTACGTAGAGAGCATTATTACCTTAGGTCCAGGGTGAAGGTCTTGCCATGGCGTGACTGGATGAGTGTGCGCAGGGAGTTGGCCACACAAAGCTTTCCATCCCAGTAGAGCAGCACAGCAACCAGACCTCGTGTCAGACCTGGAAAATGGGGCTGCTGATGCTCACCTGGAGAAAGATAAATATATTCAGAATATCAACTGTGTAAAATCTCAATGTCTTTACTACTGAAAGTTTTTCGGTACAAACCTAAAACAAAATAGCCTTTAAAATGAATGCAAGTGCTGTATCGATAAATACTAGGGCTGACCCCTAATAGTTGAAGATTCGATGCTTCGATGGGCGGAGCCTGATTCGACTGTCAATCTCACAGTCGAAACTTTGCAGCAAAACAAGGATCATGCCATTTCAGCAATATGGGTGTGCTCAACGTTTTTTGTTTTACATAGAACTACCAGTTTTCTCCCACTAACTTAATATACAGCCTATTACATTATACATTTCAATGTTTATTGCTGTAAATAAACATGTAAAAAGAAAAAAAAAAAACTTTCAATAAATGTTTTTATAGTGCATGAATAAATCCAAAATTGTAACCCTAACCCTGTGTCGTGAGTGCACATGTGTAGGCGTAGCGTGTCTGTGTGTGTAGTGGCAGTGGAGGAACACTTGAGATGGAGCGGATCCCCCGCTTCACCGTTGTTGTGCCAAGTTGTCCGCACCTCACAGGACTTTGGGATAATTTGTCAACATTGATGAACCACACAAAGAATATTATATTGAACCGTGACGTGCATGCAATTGTGGGAAGTTCGGCATGCACACTAAACTCTGTACAAGACCGGTGAATGGCAGGCGAGAGAGAGAGAAAAAAGGGTCTTCAAAAAGCATCAGTTTAGCTGGAAATTTACAGTGTAAGTTGAATGAAAAGAGACTGCAGCTCTGCAGCTTCTCAAGATTAAAGCAGAGCCACCATATGTTACACCCCGCTCGCAATCGCCGTGCACAAAAACACACATGATAGGCAGGACTTGACAATTCTGATTCGACTATGTAAATCCTTAGTCAGAGACAGCCCTAATAAATACATAGTCACTAAACTTCCTACATAACGCTCTTTAGTAATTTGCTTACAAGCCATGTCTTGTTTTCTTATGTACATTTACCTGCCAACAGAAGCTCCAAAGCTGCCAACTCTCCAATGTCAAACAAATCACTGAGGATGAACGCCTCTTTGAGAAGCTGCTCTGGAAGAAGCCGTGACCCCTGCTGACCTTGGATGGCGATTCCTTCTGTGCTGGCTTTACGCACCTTCTCTCTCTGCTCTGCACTCTTTGGCTGAAAATCAAGACCTGAAGTTGTTAACATTACAGTCACATAAGACACAGTGTCTGTCTACACAAAGGAAGCTGCAGGCTACCCAAGAAGAATACTATTATTCAAATGTGAATTGACAGCCATTACACAGGAAGGATGTGTCTCACCGGGTTCCTGAAGAGAGAGAGAAAGTGCGCTTTGTGTTTCTTCAGCTGCAGGTCCAGGAGGTGGACGCTCTCTGGCTGTCTCCTCAACACTGCCCCGTCCACTGTCTCCCACAACTCCTTCAGCGGCCCCCACAGACTGGCTCCTGAAATGGGTTTTCAAAGGTCTTGTCTCATCACACATGCACAGAACAGATTACAGTTTCTAATAACCATACTTGGCTTTGTTATCTCTTACTTTATGCATTTTGTGTAATGACTGATGTTCTGCTGAATCCTGTACTCAAACATTGGCAGGAGTCAGATTTATTCTGAATATACTGAAATGAATAACATTGTATGCAATTAACAGTCCTGTATAATCTGACATAAATGACTGACAGGACATATGTTGGGAAGTGACTATTTTTGTGATGTTGACATTTTGAATATCTTTCAGACTGTAACAAAGAGTAATAACTAATACAAATATGTTGCAGAGGTTATACAACATCATACAATTTTATAAAGACCGATGGTCATGAAATTGGCAGTAAATGTAAAACCTTACGAGGAAACTCACCTTAATATTACATTAATCTTGAATATCTCATACTATTTACCTTTCTTATTATATATTTAGCCTCATTATTCAATTACACATAACGTAATGATTTATGGATTATTTTATCAGGAACCCGCAGGTTGGCTGTCGCTAAGCAGCATCTATCAAGGTTATAAGATACAACTCAATATGACCAGCTTCACCAGTAAAGATCTGACACTGCCTCTCTGACAGGTTATAATTAAGCAGAGGTTAGTTCAAGCCTGGACTTTACACGAGGTTGCCTGAGAGTTATGCGTGGCAAAAGTTACCAGAGGTAACAGTTACAATATACCAGTGATGCTAAACATTTCTTTGCTTGTCCCAAGTCTGTTTGTTTTAGTTTCGCTTCCAAATAAGTAACGTTAACGTAAACATTTCTGCTGACAGATCTGTCACGGGTGTTGCGTTTGAGAAGGCATACTGCCCGCATGGCATTGGTTCCAACGTGAAAATGTGTTAACGCTAACTGTAAACGTGGTTACCCACCGATTAATTGTTTAACTAAAGTCAGCTAGCCTAACGTTTAACGTTCCTTGCAGGCTAGGCTAAGTTAGCCTAGCAGCCCGAGCCTGAACTTGATTGATCCATCACCATGCGGTAGAAACATGACATGCGAGAAAACGGGCACGAAAAATTTAATATGTTCTTGCTTATCTGTGAAATATCAATTACTAGCAACGGCTAGAAATGAAAGCAATGAAGTTACACTTAGTAAAAGAAGTATAGTTCATACCCGAATTTACCGCCATCTGCGCCTCCATGATACACTCGGAAAATTGGACACAGGCTTTTGGGCTGGTGCCGGTGTAAAATTTAAAATGATAAATTCTATAAACACGTTTCTGTCAAATTTCTTCAACAAAAAAATCTCCAGCTCTAGATGGATGCGTATACTGCATAATTAAGTATGTAAGGTATTTTAAACATTCACATAATTCAAGATAATGTCTTCAGGCGAGGTCCTTGGACCGATGGAGCAGTCGAGCTGGACGGGAATTGTAGTTTACTAGTGCAGATTAACTCAAGAAGCACCGTCATTTAATTAGATTGCCTGTGGATTTTATTTTCATTTGACAAATTCCATTGTCTTTCAAATATTATTTTCTTTGAAACTTCAATGAAGCAATACTTGTGCTGCGCTGAAAAGCGTTAATGAACCACATGTGGCACAAACGTTGGTTCCGCCCCGTGTTGGTCCGTACTGTTTTGATGTTACACCAACATGTCCACGCGAGTATGACAGTTGTGGATCAGTGACCGCTGGGATGGAAATTTGTCATTCATGCAATTTAAACGTCCGTGCCGCCGTAGATGTAGCACCACATTAAAATAGAGGGTTTGGGGACATTTTAATCAAAATCATGGCTCGCGTTGTCAAAGTGTTTCGGACTCTGCGGAATCACTGGAAGAAGTCCACGTTTGCTGTGTGCGTCCTGTCTTACGGGGGCCACTGGTTGTATGGTAAACACTGGTGAGTCTATCAGGTTATAGTATTTCCACCGATTAGATAATATAATAAAAAGATAATGATATGGTAACCATTTTAAGGTAGGGTATAGGCTTGTTTGTGTGTCATCCATTATTATGTGTGTTGTATCTTGTCAGTGACAATGTTCTGCGGAGAGAGGCTTGTCTGGTGGCCAGGGTAAGGCATCACTTATTTTTGCACATGCATTTGCCAGCAAAAGACATCATCATATAAACTAAATCCTTCTTCAAGTACCTATTATTCCTCCTAATCATCATCACAATCTCTGTTAGGAATTTGGGCGTCAGCAGATAGCCCCACATGAACGCCTGAGGAAAGCAACAGTGATCTTGAATCCTGCAGCTTGCAGTGGGTAAGAAGACAGAAATCTTAAAACCTCTTACTGACAGCAGTGTTCCTCAGAGTATTTCCAACTTGCTGTCCCAATCTTCCACAGGAAAGCCAACAACCTGTTTGAAAAGAATGCTGCTCCTATTTTACACCTGGCAGGTGTGGAGATAACAATAGTAAAGGTATACTTAACTTCTTTTAAAAAAAAACTTGGAATCCTTCAGGGTTGTTAGTGGCTCTAGTAGGGATCCCATTGTGTGACACGATGATTATATATTTCTCTGCAGACAGATTATGAAGGCCAGGCGAAAAAACTAATGGAGCTCATGGAGCAGACAGACATGCTGATTGTGGCTGGAGGGGACGGCACCTTGCAGGAAGTCATCACAGGCTTACTGCGAAGGCCAGATCAGGTAGGTGTCACACTGTTATTCTGTTGGTCTGTCATTAGGGTTTGGTTTATCATGCATTTGCAAAACATAGGAGGACAACTTAATCCAAACTTTTCTTTTAGCAATGTCACTGACCGATGTTTTATGGTTACAGGGTACACTCAGTAACACGCCAATTGGATTCATTCCACTCGGCTCCCACAATTCCCTGAGTCCAAGTCTTCACCTCCTCAGTGACAACAAGGTCAAGTAAGTAGCTCATCAATATTGTACTTAAAGATGCAGATCACATCGTCACACACCTGCGATTGACTGTGTGTTGGATGTGTCTCACAGAGTAAATATATGTATTTGTGTATGGTGTGAGTTTCTCAGTAAGTAACTTAAATTTATTCTTCTGCCTTTTATACACTTTCCAGAGACATTACATCAGCAACTCTGTCCATTCTGAAGGGAGAAACTGTACCCCTGGATGTGCTACAAATCAAAGTGAGAAACGGCTTCTGTTCACTCTACAAAGCCTAATAGCTAGGAACTTAGTGTTTGTCTGGAATGCAGATACTTGCTTATGTCAGTATTTTGTTTTCAGATCAACGGATCATTTAAGGGATTTGTTTTGAAAGAATTTCACACATTCTAATGTGCCTTTCTTCGTCAAATATGCAGTAAGATGTTATACGTCAGCGCATTTTGTCTCGTTTCTAGGGGGAGACCGAGCAGCCAGTCTTCGCCCTGATGGGACTACGTTGGGGTGCATTTAGAGATGTGGCTGCAACAATCAGCAAGTAAGATTACTCAGATTATAACTCTGGGCAATTCGTGACATAATTCCCCATATAAAAAAAGAGTAATTAACCATATTTCCCCCGTAGATATTGGTACCTTGGACCGCTGAAGACAAAAGCAGCACATTGGTTTAGTACTCTTCGGGTAAGGCCATATTATTTGTCTTAACATGCTTGGGTTAGAACAATATATTGAACCAATTTTAACCTTTTTTTAAATATCTGATATTGGAAAGCCATGTCAGCTACCGCCAGTGTGATTGAGATTCCTCTCTGGTATGAAAAACATCTTTTCCTTTTGTGTAACTCATAAGTTATGACTTTGCTTTGTACTTTGTCATTCAAAGGAAGTGTCCTTGACATTCTTCGCCTGTTTTCTACTACCATTGAATGCTTGCATGATTGAGTCATTCTACTTTAAACATCTGTTAACCTGAAAGAAATGCATAGTCAAGTTACGCAAAATCTAGGCAGTCATCAGCCTTAGTAAAACTCAAGATGTCATCAGTAGTCTGTAACGCACAGTATACATCATGAGGTTATTGCTGTATTTCCTTGTCACCCACGACTGTCGTAATTCTGTAGCTGCTCATGTATTTTAATCTTACACTGTTGTAAAATCTCTCAGGAGTGGCCCCTGGTCAGGGAAGTCTCAGTGTCCTACTCGGCTCCCAGCCTTCGACCCCCCTGACCTGCCTGCTCACAAGCCTCCCAGACCCAACCTGCTCCACCGCATCGCCCGCAGACTGAAAAACTACTGGAACCCTCCTGTTGAAGGTAGTGTGTTATTGTAGTCATGCTTGGATCACAGAATGGCAACATGACACCAACAATGTAATTTTTCGTGTGTGTGTGTGTGTTTGCGCAGAGCCTCCAAAGGTGGAGGAGCCAGAGGAGTGGAAGGAGCAGAAGCTTTCAACATTAGAGCTGTTTATTCAAACGCACAACAAAAACCCAGTGAAAAGGGTCAGTTCAGAAATAATTGTATCTATCAAACTTTACCTGTTCTGAGCACATGAATGATCACATTAAACCGCATCTGCCTTGTTCTTCTCTTTGACTTATTAAATATTTTGCTTCTCTTTATTTGAACTTGCAGCGCACAAATGACTCCCTGATGATCTGTGCAGAACCAGACAACTTTACCGTGGGCGAGTTCATCACTGTTGGGTTAGTAGTTTGTTTTTAATTAGTCTGCTGCAAACAGAGAACACCATCGAGGCATTAGACATTATATGAAAAATTCAATGTAAATGTTTTTCATATAGAAATAAAAAAGAAGAGGACCCCACTGTATTCACTAAAAACTCAACGAAACTGGAAGCCAGTGCTTGCCGACTGCAGCTGCCAGAGGTCAGAAACCCCTTAATACGTCACGTCAAACTAAGGATTGTGCTTATAGTCAATTTACTCAATAAAGCTCAGCATGTTAGTTTTTGGTTTCGACATTGAACATCAATATGTTTTGACCCCTCAGGGCACCGGCGGCTTCTACAACATTGACAACGAGGAGTATGAGGCCATGCCTGTGGAGGTAAGGTTGTTGCCACGGAAACTACGCTTCTACATCAGTGCAGAGCGCCGAGAGCAGCTCCTCTCACAGATGCAGTGATGAAAAAAAAGAACATTAAACCAGGAAGAAGACAAAAACTGAGAAATACAAAAGCAATGAAACAGACACCATGAAACTCTGTCATTATGAAAACGGATATCTGCCTCGCCAGCAGTTTTAAATGATCAGGAAGTACTATTGGTTTGAACAGTCTGTTTTATTACATGTAAACAAACAATAAACTATTCAGTTGAAGTTGTTAAGTTACTACAATTATGAGGATTACATTACATGTCGATTTATATGAAAGGACCAAGGCTTTGTTTCTTTAAGCCAGTAGCCCACGTACAGGTTGTCTTACAAAAGGACTTTGTTTAGTGAATGGTTTCCTGTTGCCATCACATTTGAACTTGATCAATAAAAATAATCTCTGTCCAGTTTGTCACAAAGTGTTTTTGACATTTAGTATGGAAGCATTTAGCAAATGCCTGGTTTAGGAAAGGGTTACAGACATGGGTGCATGGCGGAAGTGATGTACAAGTTGTCAGAGGACAGTGAATCAATCAGCCAGGCACAAAGAGCAGATGTTTAGGATTTGATTATAAATGTTGGTGTGGTATAGCTCCTTCACCAGTGACCTTTTTAACACCAGTGCTTTGGGCTGGCTGTGACTGGCTGGGTTGGGGCATACAGATGAATGACTACGGAAGAATATAGAGATCCTGCAGCATAACTACTGTCTATGAAATGTGCTATAAAAATAAACTTTGCTTGCTTGCATTCCGTGATACAAATGCCCAAGATCGTAGACCAGGAGTTTGGCAGACTCCCTTGGTGAGGCTGGGTCTGACAGATGGTGTACACAGTAAATCTGCAGGATTAAGCAAGTGGCTGCATTGCAGGCATCTAAAAATATTTGGTTGTCAACACATTTATTTGACAGCTTTAGTGACGAGCTACTTTGTATATTGAAATTTTTTTCATACAAAGATCAACTTAATTTGAGTTTTAACATAAACTATGATGAATTGTCAGAGGGGTAACTCCAGAGATGTAGTATTACACTTCCATATAGCTGGAGGATTCAGAAGTGACAGATCAAACAAAAGAATGATATCCTGACTTTTTAGTCCTTAGCATGAGTGATGCTTCATCCTATGTTTCCTATAATGCAACTGGGTAGTATCTTTAATTAGACCCTTAATGGTCACTTCTTTCAAACCACACCCTTTTGTAACAATAAAAAGTCTCAAGCCCAAGTGGAAAAAATAACCGTGATTAGGATTGTTTGCCTCGTTAAACTACCAGTGCATAAAGTAGTTACATTTGGCTGTATACCTCAACCAAGTACAACAGTAAAACACGCAGTAATAGATTAAATTATAAATTGTACAATAATTAGCTTGTGGGTGACATTTCACTTGTAATACATATGTACTTTGCAACAAAGTATTGGATCTAAACAGCGCTTGCACTACTGGGGAATGCTGAAGGAATGTGATCCTGGTCAGAGAGGGAAGAGAGAAATGTAGGAAAATAGTTATGCAGTGTTGGAAGCAGCGGATTAGATAATGAGCTATGAATGTTTTATTGTTTTACAATGGCAGTACAGTGAATTTAACAGTTGCTCATGCTATTGAGTTCATGTGTACATTACTGACATCTGTTACAGTGTTTCACATTAGTAAAGGTGAAGACTTGTTCTGTGAATACTCTTGATTCACATTACAATCAAGAAGAAAACACCACTTGGATGCACTGCTGCAGGTGTGCAATACGTTTGCTGTCTTTGACATTCAGTAGAGTGACACGCTGTACAAACAACTCGTTTAGCTAATGCTGGTGCACACGGCTCCACAAAGAAGGCATTTTATACAGTGGTGTGTTGTGTACATTCCCTTTCACACTGAACATACACCTGTAAAGCAAACACAGTCGGAGGCAAGAATATACTACTGCTGACAAGTAAATAGACCAGTCAGAGTCAACGGGTTTCACTGGAGACAGTGAGGTCATTCAGAAGTGCTAAGGACAATGTACAAAATCTTTCCGCAAATACTGTTGACACACATACAGAAATGAGTCGGCCACTTTGCTCTTGTAAAGTTTGAGAAAAATCACATTTCCTTAAGGCCCCATTTTAACAATAAAGCTTAAGTGTCCTTCTCTTCCAAATACAACACTTAGTTTTATTTAACCAACCCAGAAAACATCCTAGGAGGTCAAGTAAAACAGTACAGGCTACAAGACCATTAGCAGTTATCAACCTGGGGATCAGCCAATGAAAGATCATTTCTGGAATGTGAAAATGAAAAATAAACCATCATTGAATATTTGTAGACCAGTGATTTAAAAATACTTGTTTAATAAAAATGACTGTGTTTTTAGCTGCGAGATGGTTGAGAACCACTACTCCATTTTTGTATGAGGCGAGCATCAGCCTCATGTGTTCCAACATGGAACAAACGGTCACTGATTGGCAGCATGGTGGATTAAAGTCTGCCATGATAATTCAAAAGACACAGTTGGCCCATCTCTAGAGCTGGATTCACTCAATGGGTCTGCGATGAAAAGACAGAGAAAGCCTCGTCTGGAGCCGACAGAGGGGTAGAGGGGTGTGTGTGTGTGGGGGGGGGGGGGGGGGGGGGGCACCACGTCTCCAAAAACACAAAGGGATCTATCTTCAGTCAAGGACACAAACAAGCAAAGAGGATCTCTTTGAAGCTGATCAACAAGCAAACTCCATCAAGGACTCTTCATTCAGCAGGATCACAAAAGATATATTGGATTCCACTGATGAATACGTCTCTAGTTCGAATAAGAAAATACAATGACACAATGACAGCCTGTATACAATACAACACGCACACAAAGCTCCTCCACTCCATAACCACTTGCTGGCTCAGACTGTAAGTCATAAACATAGCATTAAAAAAGAAGGTACAGTTAAGCATGATCACTGTGTGCATCAGGAAATAGTCCAGTGGTGGACATGGTGCAGCATTCATGATAAGTTAGTGTTATAGATTCACATTCATTGACAATTGAAGAACCGCCGCTGATCACGACATAGTAAGGTACAACAAGTAACACGTCAAAATGTTTCCGGAAAGCCTCCGTCGCTTGTGATCAAACACAGAAACACACTATCAGATCTACCTCGTGTTGAAGGTGCATAAAAAGTTAGTATTTAACAACCTTTCCCTTCTTATTCTGTGAGCCAGCTTCATTATAATGAACCACCCCTGTTATAAAAAAAGACGATCAAGCTCACTAAACAAAAAGACGGGAACAAAAAGCACATATATAATTTCAGCTACCACAGACTCATATTGCTTCCTTTTTGAAAGGCGAAAAAAGGCGTTTGATTAACCCAGTCCCAAAGTAGCTTTATCAGAAAAAGAAGAATAATCACCCAAGTATGGTACTGTTTGAGTTTGTTTCACATTGTGACGGCAAGAATCTCCAAAAACATGTATGTGAAGCGCACAAATTCATCTCCAGCAGTAAATACTCGCCGTTCCAGTGAATTTTTCATTGTGAGTAGTGGAGAACGACCAATCATCCTGCTGTGATGACCGGACCTCATCAATTTTATCCAGTGCTTTCGGCCCTGGCCACTTAACGCAGAATCAGAGTCAAACAAGAACAAACAAGCCAACAAACATGTCTGCAAAAAGAACAGTACTGAGTGATGTAACATGTGAATGGCTACAAGAGCACACTGCTGCCATGCAGCACTGTCTGCTAGGCAGGTGTTTATCAGCCACTGTGGACCAGCGCACTAAGTGTCCTCTTCATCCACACTGGCTGGAAAAGTCTCCACAGGTCAGATGAGAACCACGCAGAGTGGGGGGTGGGGGGTGGACACCCAGGAGGGGACAGCAGGCAACAGATGGAAGTCCCAGGGTGGAGGCAGTGTATTCAGTGTCTTGGTGTGTGTGTGTATGTGTGTGTGTGTGTGTGTGTGTGGGGGCCTTGAAGGCACAGATATCCAGTGGCGTTTCCCAGGCCGAGGGGGCTCAGGGGCAGCAGAGGTTGTCTATGACCAGCGTGACATCAATACCGTACACCTCCAGCAGGTCAACCAGGAAGGAGCGATCACCCTGGGGATCCAGCCCCATGGCCCTCACATGCTCAGCGGTGAGGGTGGGATCGGTGCTGCCTGCTACGTCTGACAGGGTCTGGAAGATGCGGTTATTCAGCTCCATGAAGAACCTAGGACAGGATCAAAGATGACTACGTCATGCTGTGGTCCCCTCTGCATCACATTGACAAACCCCACATAATAGTACTACTCTCCTGAAACTGCCTGTGATTATGACTCAAGTGCATTAGCAGCAGTGAATACATCCGCCAAGGACTCACAGAATGAAAAGATCCTCTTCGTTTGACGTGCAGTCTCCGTCCACCTCTTGAGCGTAGAGCAACATTTGCCTGGAACAAAAAAGTCATCATCTATCACTCTGAAATGTTCCTTGAAATGCAACAAAAGTAGTATATGTAGTATATATATTAGTATCTGTTTTCAAATTGGTGCATGTATCACCATCAAAAACATTCAATTTACAGATTGTAATTGATTTTAAATCTGCCTATTTTTCAGTATTTGTCAGTGTGTTTATCACCTCTGTTCACTCAGTTTCCTGTATTTCTCCTTGTCCGCTGCATTCACTCGGAGCAGCGGCTGCAAATGGCTTCTGTGCGTTTTCACATTCTGGTTATCAATGTAGACGTCATACAGCTCCTTCTTATCCTCAAAAATCTTCTCTGTGGTGCCTTAAGAAATTATGAAAGCATGCTCATTTAATAGGGGGTCGTTTCCATAGATTACAGTAATAGTGGTCAATTTGAATGCAGTACAGCTTCACTCACAGGCCACGTACGACATCTCTGTCTCCAGGGTAGTGATGTCGGCTATGTTGATGTAGAAGAAAGGCCGTAACTCAGGCACAGAGACACCAATTCCAGGCAAAGAGACGTTGGCCAGGCAACAACAGCAATACACTGAGAAGACAGAACGAAGCGAATGAAACGTCTCTACAGAAACTGAAAATAAAAGACCACACTTTGTACATTTATTCCATCCTGAGGCGTCTGTGTTAAAGAGAAACAAGGACAAATAGCAGAAACGTAACTACAGTAACAGCAAGTAAAAGGCTGTAAGTGTGTTTGTGTGCGTGTGCGTATGCGTGTGCGAGCGAGCCTCTCACCCCTGTAGCAGACCACACCTACTGGTGGAGGGGAGAAGATGAGGAGACGTTTCCTAAGCAGTGCAAACTTCCACAGCACCATGATCTGCTCCCCAAAGAACTGGATGAACTGGGACATGCAGCCAGCTGGGTGGGTGATCTGCAGGGAGCAAAAAGAAATGTGACAGATATGTTGGTTTTTGTTGTTCTGACTGAGCCCCCCTGCTATCACCGACAAAATCAGTGTGTTCTGCTGCTTTCGGACCTTCATTTCTGGGTGCATACAGCGGTTGATGGTGGTAACGCTCCAGGTTGGGCAAGTGGTGACTAGACCATTTCCTGCAGGGGGAAGGACAGCCTTCTTATCTTCATAGAAGGCCTCCAGTGGGGAGTACTGGCCTGGACACTGCAACTGGTGTCTACAAGGCAACGATAGGTGGAAGAGGAGGAGGAGAGAAAGAAGAATCTTGTCAGGTATGAGTTATCCAAGTATTTCCAGATTTGTATAATTAAGCTGATTAAGCTTGCTTGGGTGTATTTAAACAAATCACATATTAATGTTCTGTCAACATCGCCATGTTTACAGCTCAGGCAGCGTATTCCAAGAGATTTAAAGGCAATAGCTACACTGAAGCTTGCGTCTGAAACCATTCACTCTATCACTTTTTGTTAAACACCATAAAGGGAAGTCTATGTAAAAGAGTTGTGTATTCAATATCACACACTTTTTAGGTCATCCAGAATGCAAGATTACATATTGGGCTTGGTTAGTAACGATTACTTGTTCTTAAATTGCATTGTGGGATCATTGGAGGCCACTCGCGTTACATAAATGCCACTTTTGTATTTGGTTTAACGACTTCAACCATTCAGCACCACCTGAGACATCTGCCCGCGGCCGCAGAGCGACATTAAAACAGCCACAGTGACCAACTGGAGGCTAGATTACCACACTCCTTTCAGATTCATTCAGATCAAATTGTATTTGGGGATAACCTGAGCCATCAGTATTCTTAACTCGAAACTGTGGATGTGTCATTTATTTATACATAGTCAATGAGCAGATAGGCTTTTCGTGAGATGACTGAACCACAAGAGCAGAGTTACTGAAGAGAAGAGAGGCTGTCAAGGCCTCTTCCACTTCCGTGCTTAGACTTTATACAAAAACTGCATGTAATGGGCGCTTGTAGCTGGGACTCTGGGTTTATGTTTAATAGATGAGAAAATATTTAACAAAAAGGAGCAAGACAGCGAGAGTTAGGAACATAAAGAGAAACATGCGAACACGGTTGGGCGAGGAATAAATAAGTAATAATAATAATAAACAGAACAGAAATAGGGTGGTGCAAACGTGACAAAATAAAAATAAAAACAGAAAGACTCACACACAGGGGCACGCAACACACAGCATGTCTTACCTGACTTGGTTCTCCAGGAAGTGCATGTAGCGGTAAAGAAGAGTGTAGGAGGGAGACAGTATTCCCACAGACTTCATCCTCGCTCCTCGCTCCAGCTCACTCTCCACAGGCATGTTGGCAAAACAGGCCAGCCCGAAGTAACAGCCTTTACGGAAATATCTAGCCAAGGGCAAATAAAAAAAGATCAGTATTAGTTTATCAGAGTTAACACAGAGGGACAGGTTTCTGACACGGACTGTGTGTCTCTAAAGACTGGATTCCATGCGTCTTGATTAGTGGGCGTGAGTGGGAGTACGTACATGAAGTCGTTGGTGATCCGATGGGAACCGCTGGCCATTGACTTGAATTCAACTCCGTCTAGGTTGATGTCGTGAGGCAGACACCACTCGACCATATTCCCTGCCATTCACACACACACACAAAATAAACCACAAAGTTACTTCCCATATCCTCTACTTTCATCCTGCTTACTTCCCCTCATTCTGTATGCCAGTCATGTAGGAGCAAGAGGTCCGACAGTAAGTAAAAGCACTGACTCAGCTCTTTAGCTGTCTGCACACTGACCTCTTCCATATATGAAGCAGAAGCACTGACACTGACCTTGTTTTCTGTTGTGTTTGATGAGCTATTGATTGTATATCGTGTTGTCTTATCTGTTTCTATCATTTTCTGTATTAAATCTAATAGGATGGCTTTCCCTTTTAAACCAGCTTGGGTTTCAGTCACTCAATTATTGCATAAGCTTTACAGTATGTTTGATAGCTTTCAAAAACTGGACAGCCAGGTGGTTTATTTCTTTTGGAATCTATTTCATAGGGTCTTGACATTTGAAATATCTGACAACCCCACCTGGGCATACACCCTTCACCGCCATGAGTCAGTGTAATGCACTAAAGCACACTTGACAGAGGAGACTGACGTCTAGGTAAAAACTGAGAATTTTAAACATAAGAGAAAGAAGATCACATGATATTGCCACAATCTGACTTACCTGATCTTGTATCAAAGGTAACCACAAACACAGCCACAATCTGGTCCTTTTCCTCCCAGTGATCCCTCACCGAGAGGCCGGGGAAGGGAACATTAAGATCTGTACCCATAGGCTCCGGGCGGTCCCTCCCGTGCCCAGAGAGCTCTGTTCGCGGACGGCCCGGACTTATTTCCCCGCTGGGAACAACAGCTGTGACATTTCTCGTCGGGCTGCAGGTTATAGTGGTGGCGGCGGAGCTGCTGCTGCTCCACCCAGTACCAGCCGCGATAACCGTCGGTGTTCGCCGCCCGGCTGGCTGCGAACTTTTCTCCGACGGTGCGTCTTCCTCCCGGGGCGACGCAGGCGGCGGCTGGGCCGCCTGGTTCGGATCGGGCGGCGGGATCTCCTCCCAGTCCAGCAGCGGGGCTCGGTCAGACTGCTTCACCATAGCGCTGCTGCCTCCGAGGACTCGCGGGAAGGAGAAAAATATCAAAAAACTCGGATGTCCAGTTGAATCGAGCTCACTAAACACGCTGCTGGAGCCGGATCATGATGTCCTGCTGCGTGCTGGGTTGTTTTCTATGTATTTGTAAGCGTGTCACATCCACTGACGGGTTGCTTTCCCTCCTCCCGTCTCACTGTTTTGATGACGTCGCTGACTTCCGCCCACGTGTCTATATTACTTTTTCATACAGTGACCTAATTTTGACTACGGGCTATTTGTTTGCCCATAATAATTATATATATCATATTCTTACAACGTTCATACAGAGATTCAGATGCATGTTGTAGGTACTATTAAGTATTCATTTACACTATTTTCATGTTATTTAGTTTTACTATCAAAGTGAAAGTGTAGTTTCCCCTTTTGCTATCATTATCTATATCCATATAGTCCTACATTGTATGGGTAGATTTTCATCGTTTTTATGGTAACGCTGTAGACAGTTGTTTATGCAATTAACAGCCATGTTAATGTCAGGTGCATAGGTCAGGTGTGTGGTTTATTAACAAGTCAACCAATCAGAGAGCTAGATGTGTTAACGGTGGCATAGTTCATTTAAACAGGAAGTCGCTTACATACTAGGTGCGAAATTCAAAGCGTGGTGGCGGCGGGGAAAGGCGACTTATTCGTGAGTATGCGTGACAAGAAAATATTATTACTCAGACTTAAATGACTTAATTGGAGTGTACGTTTCTGGCCACTGTGTGAAGTGTTGAGCTTACAGATAAGTCTGAAAACATAAATAACCTCATCAACCAGGGTGCTGGTTTTCAATTGTCCTACGTGATTTGGTTGGCAAAACATTTTAAACAATATATACTATTGATTAAATTATGACACATTAATATATGCAGGCCTAGATGGAGTATAATTAACATGTTTTTATTTCCTCTTATCTTTATCTTCTTAAAAGACTTAAGGCCTAATAATTTAATTAAAAAATCTAATGCATAACATAAATCCCAAATTTAAAATGGTGAAGTATTTTTGTTCTTTAAGGGCAGTCAAATACAGGATTAAGCATTTTAAAGGAAACCTTTGCAAACCTCAGGCGCCAAGCATGGCGACCTTGTTTGATGGGATCAGCCAGCAGCTGGACTTCTCTAGCTGTGGAGAGGAGGGGAGCAGCAGTGACAACTCTGATGACTGCACATTCAGGATCCGAAGTCCCAGGATCTGCAGTCCCAGCTCTGCATGTAGGACGCCCAGAGTGCAACGCCAACGCAGTCGAAGCAACACCCTAACCTCCCCTTTATCGTGCACCAGCCCCATACCTTATGCTTCCTGGAGCAAACTGAGGCTCTGTGACTCACCAAGCACGCCCAAGGTGGGGAATAATTCACACTGATTGTCCTGTGTATGATTTGTCAAAGTGTGTCTCAAATGTCAAACTAGTTTTACTTCAAAGGGATGAATGGCATTTCCCTCTGTTTTTCCCTCTGCTGAAGAGCCTTCTGTCGAAGTCGTCCCAGCCTTTCTCCACCACTAAGATAAGTCGCCATCAGAGGACCCTGCGCTTCTCCTCTGTTGCGCCAAACCTCACCCATGCTCCTTCTGTCAATGTGAATCCTTTCACCCCTGACACAATCCGCAGGAACAGCGAGCAGCAGTGGAGAAACAGTAGTTATGATGATGACGATGACTATGGACGCAGGTTACAACTGCTTTATGCTGTACTGTATATCTGGATGAGTTGTAAACACAAGTGCATGTTCACTCACAGACGGGGATTGGTTGACGTTAACGTCTGGAAAATGTCCAAATGTTTAATTTAGAACTGCTGCATCACAGGGAAATTAGTTATCTTGTGTAATGGTGTAGGTGTCCCATTCAGAGCTATTTTTAAAATGCAATAACTTGAATGCCTTTGGCTAGTAGATTCCCCTACTGATGGTGAAACTAAAATAGTTTGAATTCCAGTTTCCTTACACATAAACCTGACTTTTTAATCCCTTATTTATGCAGGGGTTTTTTTTGTGTGTGTGGATGTAAAGGTCTAAAGACCCTTTTCATCTTTCAGGTCGAAACACAGCCTAACGTCATCTGAGGAGGATGACGAAGCCTTTCTCCCACCAAAGGTATCACTATTTTTATCAGTACTTTCTGGTGGATGTAGCCCTCCCCCTCAGATGCTGCTGATGTGATTTCATAATCAGGCTTTGTCAGCTTCAGCTGCCTCCTCACTTCTTGTGTTGTCCAAAATTACATGCTGCCAGTCATACTTCCGGGATTTCTCTAAGGAATCTCCAGCAACAAAAGTCCTTTCCTTGTGGAAGCACTACCATATTTGGTGACTCATCAAAGAAAACCCCGGTTCTCCTGGCTCTGTGACGTGTGTTCCTCTCTTTAGAAATGTCTCTGGTTTTACCACAAGGCCCTCCGTCTGTTTATCTGGCAGAGGCGAGCTGTCCAGGCGTTCATGCTGTCACGCTATGAGAGTGAGTTTCTGGAGCTGGAGTGCATCGGCGTGGGCGAGTTTGGGGCAGTTTACAAGTGTGTGAAGAGGATGGACGGTTGCTTGTACGCCATAAAACGCTCTCGCCAACCCTTGGCAGGCTCTGCCAATGAGTGAGTCAGCAGCATTTTGCTCTCTGATCGGCCTACTTTTTTTAATTTTGTTCTTGACTTGGTCAAATGTATCCCTGGCCATATTTTTTTTTGTCCTCTCAGGCAGCTGGCTCTTAAGGAAGTGTATGCACATGCTGTTCTTGGGCACCACCCTCATGTTGTTCGCTATTATTCAGCATGGGCAGAAGACGACCACATGATTATTCAGAATGAATACTGTGATGGTAGGTTTCCCTTTTACCATTAAAAGCACAGTTTGGGAAGACTAGAATGAAAGGAAACTCTAAATATCTTTTAGGTGAACTAGATTTAATTCTTTCTGATACTGTGTGTGTCAGGTGGAAGTCTCAATGATGCTATCATGAAGAAGGAAGTACAGGGTGAGCTGTTTTTGGAGGCTGAGTTGAAAGATCTACTTTTACAAGTGTCTATGGGGCTAAAATACATCCACAGTTTAGGCCTCGTACACCTGGACATCAAACCAAGTGAGTCTCACTGAGTTGTTTGCATTTCTTATATTGTCCAGTCCAAACACAGTCCTGAGGTTTTTTTTAAATGCCTTGTTTCAACCCTTTTGTAGGTAATATATTCATTTGCCAACGTCCCAGTACAAGTGCAGCAGGTGAAGGGGAGAGTGAGGAGGAAGATGACGGAAGCACGTCAGCAGGAGTCATTTACAAAATTGGTATTATATTTAATGCTCACTAAAGTTTTACACTTTTTATTTTTATTTTATAAATGTCAAATTGGATGTTTTCTGCAGGGGATCTGGGTCATGTGACATCAACCAACAGTCCTCAAGTTGAAGAAGGGGACAGCCGCTTTCTAGCCAGTGAGGTCCTGCATGAGGTAAAAATAGTCCTGGGGTGGGAGTTGGTTACCCCAGTGTTTTTTTTTTTTTTTTTTTTTTTTAAAAACAAAGAAGAATCAAAAGGTCTTTCATATTATATTTGCATTGTTTCTAGCGTTCATTCCAGCCATCTCTCTGCTCCCCAGGATTACAGCCAACTCCCCAAAGCAGACATCTTTGCTCTGGGCCTTACGGTGCTGCTGGCAGCCGGGGCTCCTCCTCTGCCCCAAAATGGAGATGAGTGGCACAGACTTAGAGAGGGGCAGCTCCCCAAACTTCCAAGGGAGCTATCGCCTCCCTTCAGAAGCCTACTTCAGGTTTGCTTATTTCAGGGCTGATGTTTTTGATACGATGTTTGAATATTTAAATCTAACCTAATTAAAGACTCATTTAAATTCTCAAGTCACTAGCATAGCTTGTTAAATACTTTTGTCTTTATTTTTTATTCTTTGTCAGTTGATGCTGGATCCAGACCTGACAAAGCGGCTGTCTGCCAGGGAGCTTTGCAAGCACGCAGTTTTAAGGGAAAAGAGGACTGAGAGACTAGCTGCCCAGCTACGCAGAGAGCTCAATGTAGAGAAGTTCAGGACAGCCATGCTTGAGAAGTAAGATTTAACTGAACTAAGCATCTGGGGTTCAGGCCATGTCTTCATCGAATTTAACCTTAATTGGTCTTGCTTAATTCACTCATGCTGATGCCATGCCATTATTTTTGTAATTCAGTACCAACCTCATTTACATAATAACACCTGCACAATGTAGTCTATCATTTTTGCTGAGCTCATTGTACATTGAGAGCAACGTAAGGCCAAAGTCAAATTCCTCATGTGTACACATACCTAGCCATTAAAACTGATTCAGATGTCAGTTAAAAGCACACACTTATTTCCATTTTCTCCACAGAGAGCTCCAGGAGGCTCGTCTGGCGGCCTTGTCACCCAAGCAGATCCTCCCTCCTGGCCTGAACTCCTCTGCTAAGATCGGGTCTCTACCCAGAGCAGGGAGGAGGCTTGTTGGTAGGAAGACTACACGGTCCATGAGCTTTGGTTGCCCAGGTTATGGAGTCTAATGGGACGTTGTGAGGCCCACATGCCTGTCCTTTTGCTCTGATGCAAAGTGGTTATGTGATTCCCTTGTACAGCAATGGTTTTGTTGGAACTGATTTGAAATGACTGGATGGATAATCCTTTTGAGTCTTCTAAGTGGATGCAGTGTAACTGAAGGACTGGAGAGACCTGGACAGCATTGGTTTCAAAGGACTAATCTGACTCTGACACTGTTCAGGTGATTTTCAACAACTTGGAATTGCTGCAGACCAATGTACTCAACCAATTGTTTTTTTTTTTTAAACTGTAAATAAACATTTTAAGCATTTTACCAGATGGATTTCCTATTTGCTTATTTGATTTAGCTCTGCAACTCTTGTCCCAATGGAGTACTATGTTATCAAAAAAGCACATTCAGAAGGGCTGTTGGCCACAGCAGGGACTTTCCAGTGGTGTTATCTTTAAATGCAGCCAACTGTGTGACTATTTATGTGGCTAGACATGCACTTACACAGAAATGTTGAAAGTATGTGTTTCAAAGGAAACATGTTCAAACTATTTCTCAACATAAATATTCAATTGTACTAGTAGTATTTTAGTTGTTGCATAAGGTGGTAGCTAACTATGAGTCAGTTTTTATTATTGGATGAGTTAAAGATGGATTCACTGTAGGCTCTTGCATAATCTCGGCAACTAGAGGAAAAACTATTTTAATTTGCAGCTGACTAGTTATATCCAGTTAGGTGATTTATGTCCTGGGGTTTCTCGGTATTGCCTAACGACAAAGAGAAATGGCTCCCCCCCACCCCAAGTCCGACGGTATTTGAAGGCATCATGGGGCGTTTACCGTAGCCAGATATGTGGCCATCTGAAGTTGTTTTTGCTGCTGCTCAGTTAGACCTAAGCAGCGCCGTGGTCGGTGCTCTATGGCGCATCACTGAGAAGTTCTTTGTACTAAGTTAAAAGCTGACTCATCCGGCATAGGAAACGAATGTGAGTAAAACTAGCCATTCTTTCTAAATTTATTTAGCTGTAAGTTACCTTAGTCGCACGTTCTCTCTTTTGCTTAACGTTATCTTCGGTGCCGAAAGTTACCGTGAGCTAATGTAAGAAACCAAAGTTAGCATTAGCGTAACGTTAACTTTCTAACTAACTAGCTTAACTTGCCCGTTAGACGTCAACTGTCAGAAATAATTCCTTAAGGGTAATGTTTGCCAAGATGCATTGGTTTCTTATTACTCGTTGTTAGCAAAGTTTGTTGAATCACTTTAGTGCTAACTTAAAATGACCCTCATTTTTCTTGTCTGAATTTAAAAAGGCCGAGAGTGATTATCGATGGATGACTTGGGCGATCTGACCAGTGGGCAAAACGCCGCCCTGGTAATTTTGGCCTTCCTTCAAATGGACTGTAGAAATTCTGACTACAGGAAGGAGCTTTTCTCCCTGGAGCAAGATTATATTAACGTTACCCGGGACATCAATTGCAATAGCTCCTGGATAGACGTCCAGGACGAAGGAGACCTTGAAACTGACGGTCACCTGCCCGTTTGCATGCCACTTTCTTTTGGAGATATTCAGCCTTCAGTGGAGCTGCGGCGGCCTGGTGAGTAACTCAATCAGTAGGTACAGATGAAATAACCTGCTACATCACATAGGCGGTTGCATACAAGCACCACAAACTCTGACATCAGATCAGCTGTTTCACGTTTCGCCAAGGCTGATTTGATTCTGAAAGCAAAATATAGGGCTTTTTTTCTGGGTGTCAAAATAAATACAAATTTCCCAATTTTAAACCCATTGTGGAGTAACAGGCAAACTCGTGTGTGGTCCACGATATCATAGTGCAAAAGTCACAACATTGACATGCAAATCTGACAAGTTGTTTCCAGCTTAACAAAACAACATGTGACTTAAAGTGAAACCAGGAAGTGGCTGTCAACCATTTCTTGTAATTAGTGTCTCATCTGATGCAAACCTATCCACATTCATACATCTCTCACTTGATTACTGTATGTGTTTTAACAGACATCAAATTGTATGTGCTATAGAGATCATATGTTCGATAAGTAGATTTCCTAAAGGCTGTATGTTCCTTTCTAGGAAAATGTTTTTCTTCCACTGTTCTTCCTTTCAAATCCAGAAATACACATTATGGTGACTAAACCTTTTATTCATGTTGTGGCTATGTTGTTTTCCTGTAGGGGACCATGGAGAAGCAGCAGCACTTCAGCAGGTTGCAGAAGGGCTGAGAGAGATTGCAGCCCAGCTTGAACACAATGTTGTGGCTCAGGCTACCCAGAACCTGAGAAGGAACATATCAACATCCCCCTCTGAAGTGAGTCTGAACAAAGGAATTATTTAACTGTTAATGTTGTGGTGGTCATCCTCTGTAATACAGAGGACAATGTCTAATTACCAGTGAGTTTTTGTTGTTTCAGAAAGCATTTACAATGTCATATTCTAATTTATCATATATGTAACTATGGCTGAAACGATATAAGTGTCCTCATCAATTTGTAGATTTTAAAAAACGAAATAAAAAGAAAACCAGGTTTATTGTCAAAAATAATGATGTGGGCAAAGTCATCACAAATTACCAAGAGGCAGAAAACTCCTGAACTTCTGTGTGCATACAGAGATATGCAACAAGGAGATCATTACGTTGAGATACTAAAACTCGTAAATGTTTATTTAAATTTTAGAAACGTTTAGTTTTTTAGAACTACTAGATCTATTAATAAATTATTAAATTTTTCCAGGGTTTCCAGCAAGAACATTGTTGCTAAGGTGGTCACCTGGCCACCCAGGTACTGACACAATTTATCTCATTTTATCAATTCAGTTAGTAGATGATGGCCTATTATCCATTAATATGGAGTATTGGCCACACTCGCAGCGCAAAATTAGCTCCAGCCAACAGCCAAATGCTGGTGAAATCTGCAAATGGCTGGAATATTTTCTTCACTCACCAGCCAAAAACAATATCAATCTATTGAGTGGTTGGTACACATTGAACATTCACTCGCCATTTGGCCGGTGGACAAAAGTTAATTTTGCGACCATTTAAAAACCTGCCATTTTCCTGTGTTAATAGTGCCCACGCTCTTTGTCCTTGAAAGTTAATATTTAATTGAAGCTTTTTTTAATCATAGTAAGTGGTCTTTGAGGTGAGGTGACACATGTCCACCATTAAAACCTTGAGTGATTACTTTTAAGCTCTGCATTATATTTATTATTGGTAGGTATTGATATATTCCAGAATGGTTGTTGAAAACAGAGCAACCTCCCAGATATACTTGGTACTAGTTGGGGAATATGCAAAATGAGGAATTGTGCTTGTAGTGCAAAATGGAACATGGTATTTTTGTCAGAGGAACTACACATTTGAGTTCTGCAATATTTAAATATGCGAATATACTGAGATTAGCTGGATTAAGAATATTTAATGATTTGCAGTTACCAGTTTCCTTAATAGCCTTACCTTATTTGTTTGATAAATTAATGTCTACATGTGCAAAAGGCCACAGCAATTGCTTTTAGCACCACAAAATAAGAAAAGTGTGTGAATTGATTTCTACATTAATTAATTGAGTAACATTTTCATGATTTTCTAGTTTGTGTTCAGAAACACAACTTTGCATCTATTTTACACCAATAATTTTAGAATCAAAACCTCAAAATATTATAAATAGGATGTACAGGCCCTTGTAATAAATAAAACAGTTAAGGTCTGTAAAGTTGCAATAATAACCTGAGTATTGTCTTCATGTAATAATTGATCCCTTCTGGTCGTTTTTGTTTTCCAGCAGTGGAAGGACCACCTTACCCAGGAGGTGGACAGGGTGATGAGGCATGGCGTGGGTCTGGAGCATCTACCCCAGGAGCGAGTCATCGTGGCCCTCACTCTCACTCTGGTGAGGGGAGTGTGCGAGAAGGCCCCGCAACTGCTGCGAAACCTCTTCAACACAGCACTGCAGTACATCAGCCCTGTGAGGGCCAGGTGATTTCTGAGCTGCCAGCTGAGAGTAAATAACTTGGATATTTGTGACTGAATATGAAACTGGCACCTGCTCCTCATGACCAGTTGACTGTGAAAGGAGCTGCGTTGACTACAACAGTATTAGAAACACTTTCTTATATGAAATAAAGTGACAGTCTTTTGAGTTTATGGACATGTATTGAAAACGGGAAATATTCAGTTAAGTTAGTGATACTTGAATTTTCGTTACTTTATTTACTTAATGCTTCTGTTTACTTTTGGTTAAGTGTTATCTTTTCATTTTACACTTATACATGTATGACCAAAGGATTGTAAAACTTGAATAAATAAATATTTTCTGGGGTTGAGTTTGATTCTTAAATATGGTGAGACTATTTTATATTCTATATATTAAAAATAAGTGGATTTAACTTCATCAATACATAACACCACAGAAAAGGATCTCAAACATGGTTTTATTGTTCTCATCTCAAACAGTGTATTGTAGGAAACTATGGTACAAAGTGTCATGTTTGGGTCCTTTTGACATGAGTCCTGCTCTGCACTTTAACAATTTCCCTTTGAAAGCAGGAATAGTTACGAGTAGGAGTATTACTGTGTGTAATGCTGACCAACTTGCATGGAAACATCCTTCCTGTCCAACACCATGTTTTAACAGCCATTCATCATTTGTCAGAGATACAATTTCCCACAATTCTCTCTAGGTGTGTGTGTGTTTCACATTTTCTGTTTAAGAACTCCTGCACTTGACTGTGTTTTGCTAGCTGGGTGCTACATTCATGCAAAAATATCATTTCATAGCAACGAAAGAGGTTGAGTGCATCTATATGAACTTTTGTTTCAGTTTACTGTCACTGAAAAACATTTTTGCCTTTAATACCTCACAGTGGCTTACCGCCTCATTCTACTCTAATCCTAACTGGACAAACTTGCAACCGATGCAGTTGTCATTGGAGAGCTGTGGCACAAGTCAGGTACATTATATGCAGTAATATAAAAATATAGGGGATTGAAGACATCTGGCAGGAAGACTGAAGACAGGAACGAAAACTGGGGGCGGCTGTGGCTCGGGATTCATGCCTGAATTGCCACTGGTGGCTGTTCTGCCAGTGTGTGAATGCAGATGTAGTGTAAAAGCGCTTTGAGAGATCAAAAAGCCTAAAGGTGCTATACAAATATGGAGCATTTACTTTGGCAGCGGCTGACACGTTCATGTTTCGCCAATGCAAGCACAGTATAGAGCAGTTTACACAAGTACTTCGATGTAGCCAACTCAACAATCAGGTATCTTTTAAAGCACCATATGACACCTACTGTATGAATAAAATGGGGAAATCCATTGCAACAAGAATATTGCATTGCATATTTAAATGTATTTGTGATTTCGGGTGTTTCAACTTTTACAGCCCTGGCAAGAAGCAAACAAAGACAGAAACGTCAACACCAATGTTCCTAAAGTTCCATTCACCTTGTCTCACTTCACCATCAATGGAAATGTTCAGTTAAATGTGGATTATAGTTAAGCTAGTCCTAAGAAGGCTACAGAGTCAGAATAATGACCCGCTCGCTGTATATTATGCTCTCCTTTCGCGCCTTCACAGTGTATTCAGATTAACATACTGACTAGGGACCTTGAAGTATATCAGCATGCTGGATGCATCATTTCTACAAAATGCAGCAGCAGTACTGTAACTTAGGACACATGAAAATACTTTCTTCCATTCTTGGGCAAAATCTTTAATGGTTTTATACACGCATGTGAAATGATACAAATCCCTTGTGCAGTTTGCAAAGACGCAACCTAAATCTAACCTTGTGTGTCTGTTCTGTGTCAGAAGTAGTTTCAAACTGACACTTAAAATCAAATTGCTGGTTTCATTTCCATATCATCAGCATAATATACGTGTTCTATTTATCAGAGAAAGTAGCAGACTCACTCACAGTTAGAGGAGGAAAATATAAATAACTGCGAAAGATAGAAAGCTAGAAAACCTTGAGCCACACGGCAACAGTAAATGTGGGATTTGAGGTTTACTCTAGCTATTGGGGTGTTGCCAGTGAACTTTCCATCGTGGTACACTGACTCAAATTGCACAACTAACTGTGTGCCACAGACACAACAGAAACCAAAAGTAGCAGAACAGGGATGAAAGTCCACACACACTTTCCAATGTAGGAGATGAAGGGCTGGAGTTTGAACACACAGTTGCAAGTTAACCCAAAATGCTTAAAAGAGAGAAAAAACATAAAAAAATAAGTGGAGTGATCCCCTTTCTGTGTTTGCACCTGGTGCTGTGAAGCGGCCAGGACTCCCAGCAGTAAGGTGTGGGGGTTGTGGGGTCTTGTTTGTTGGGGGGGGGGGGGGTTCAGCGATTTTAAATTTTTCAAAAGCATAGCAGATTAAAACAAAAACTTCCCCATTTCATAAATCCATCACTATTTGTAAGGAGAGTCTCACCATGTGTATACTAATACATTTATTTCTACCGTAACATCTTGTGTTTGTGCCTCCCCTGAGAAAGATACTTCTTTACTTCCTCCTGTAGCTTATGACACCGTATGCCATAACAGCAGCGAGGGCCACCAGTGCAGCTCCTCCATAAAGCAGCGCTGAGAGCTCTGATTCTGGCTGCACTGGGGGCTCCTCAGCTGGGGCTTCTACAGGGGGCTCTAGGATCGGGGGTGCAGCCAGCAGGGCCGCTGGCTCTGCCACGGTCTCTGGTTCTGGCTGGGGAGGCACTGTGAAGGGCTCCGGCTCCTGTTCTGGTTCAGGAGGTGGTTCTGAGGTGACTTCCGGCTCTATTGGTGCTGCCGGGGTTTCCTTGGCCAGAGATGGGGGTGCCACCTCGGCAGGCACTGGGGCAGTGGTAGCAGCTGGTTGTGGCTCAGTCTCTGGTTCTACTGCAGGAACAGATAAGGGTGCTGCAGGTTCTGGCTCAGAGGGAGGGGGAGCAGCAGCTTCTGGGAGCAGGGGAAGCAGCTCTGGTTCTGAGGTGGTGAGAGAAGGCTCTGCCGACAACATTGCAGGCGTCTCTATTACAACTGGTTCCTCTAATGAAAGCAGGGAGGCCGGGGCTGTGGAGTCTGGAACAGGTGGAGTCTGGTCCCTAAATTCTTCCCTGAGCTCGGCCAGCTCGCTCTCGGTGCCTAAAACACTCATCATGCTGTCTTCTATTGCTCCCACTTCGCCGCCTTCCTCGAGCAGCTCGGCGTCCTCGCGCTCCACGTGGACAATGTCCGAATTTGAGGAGTTGTTTTCGCTGCGCTCCTCAGCCAGAGCTACGCCCTCATTGCTGTCCAGGCTCTTGACGTCTTCAGGGTCCATCGCACAAACCTGTGCCCAAGACTCGTGGCCAGCCAGAGACACAGGTAAGCTTTCCGTCTGCCAGGAGCTCTGCTCACTGCTGTTGTCTCCAGTGCAGATCAGCGAGGAGGGGGGGCTGAGCTGGTCAGGATGCTGCTCCCCTGAGAGGATGTAAATGTCGTTGCTGTCTTCAGCGATGGTCGCACCTTGCTCCTCCTCTGACTCAAGGCTGAATATTTCACTCTGTGGTAGACAGACAGAGACAGATATCAACATTCTGTGTAATGTTAACTATATAAGTAAAGGCGGAGGTGATTTTGATGGATTTTGAGTAATAGATGGAAAAGCTAAATCTGTTATTATGTATAATAAAGTTGGTGCTTTGTGTGCAACATGACAGAGGATTATTTCACCCATAAAGACAATAAACAGAAAAATCTCCATATGACATACAATGTAGAGACCTTTTTATATACAGTCTATGGTAGAGACGCAAACAGTAGATTCAATCACACAGGTCACTTGAGTATGCAGGATGAAAAATTTAGATTAGGACAATGCTGCAAAAACACTGAGTTAAATAAACACTGTGAAATATGTCGAAATCAATATAGAGTCTAGTCAGTTAAATACACATTTGACCTCAAAATATAAAAACAAAGGCTAGTTTTCCATGTCAACATGAAGGCATGAAACAAACACTTTACATTTTACTGAGTGTGCAGTGAATCTACAACATGCGGCTCAGAAATAGGTCACAACGGTGTACACAATGAGAACAAAAGAAACGGATACATAGTGACATGCTCACTCGTCTTCAGGGCATAAAGAGGTTAATATTGTTATTGTGGATGGCAGGATGTTGCATTTGAAGTTTGAATCATCTTCTCACATTGTCCAGCAGAAAAATCTGGCTTCCTAAGTTCCTCAAATAGTTTTCTTCATCTGTAAAAGCGTTTTTGGCAGATTTTATTTCCTTTCAATAGACTAAAGCATTAATATTTACATATACACACATATAACCAATTGAATTTTAACTTCTCTATGCACTCTAAACACAATGTACATATATTGTGGGTTATCAAGGTATGTAACATTACTGTCATGTTTTTTGTTTGGGAATAAATTTATTTTAATCTGCATTTCACTTGGGAGAAAGAAAAAAAAGGAATGCTTTTAGTCCTATTTAGAAAATGAGGTAGCGATGCACTTCAGCCTCTTGTGGCCGAAATGAGCATTACAACAACAAACAATACTTGACATCAAAAACTATCCTGACAAACAAAAAAAAAAGTTTTTCACCTTACCTGAAATTTTTACAGATAATGAACAGAGCTTGACCGGGCTGAAATTAAATTTTGGATCTGTCATGAGCTGGCTTCTCTGTTGTGTCTCAATGCATGTGACATAGGGTGTGACCTGAGCAAACGAGATTCAAACAGACAGTGGACCACAGACGTGTTTGTCTAAAAAGGGAGGGCGTGTGTTTATGTGTGCGTGCAGCAGACGGAAAGGTTCTGACAGCAGAGACCGGCTCCCAAGGCAACACTGTCTTATTTCAGAACATGATAATGTGTCATCCACTGTGTCCCTGATGCAATTTGCATCTGATCCACAACCTTTTAACTTCTGAGGGAGCATACAGTATGTAAACTATCATTGACCTATGTAAATATGATTTTATGAACGACATGGTCAAGCTGTGAAGGTTATTTTCCTTACAAGGACACCCGTGGCAGCTGCATCCTGGGAGGCAGGACAGAGATTAAATCCAACATCGTTATCCAACATTCGCTTTCTCCTTAAGCTGATTTGCATTTGGGAGAGCGCTTACAAGCTCCCCATCAGCTGGACAGAACAGCACAGTGATGCCATGTGGTATACAATCTAGGGCTGCAACTAATGATCATTTGCCACTGTCGATTAATTTGTCGATTATTTTTACGATTAGTTGTTTGGTCTATACAATTGGTGAAAAAATGCGATCAGTGTTTCACAAAGCTCAAGATGACGTCCTCAAATGTCTTGTTTTGTCCAAAAACCAAAGATATTCAGTTAACGGTCATCGGGGAGTAAAGAAACCAGAAAATATCCACATTTAAGAAGCTGGAATAAGAGAATTTTCACATTACTCAAACTGATTATTCGATTATGAAAACAGTTGAACACTAAATCGATTAACCGTTGGCCGTGGCTCTAATAAAATCCACAGCAAAAGGTTGTTAATAGTATTCAGGAACAATGACAATCAATCTTTCTCCTGCATTTGTAGTTTCAAGTTTCTACTGCCACAAAGTCCCACAGTGAAAATGATGTTGTCAGTAAAGAATACCAGCTGGGTGTCCCAAACCTTAGTCACACTGTAAAGCACAAACAGGCACTACTGTAAACCTATAATTTTTTCAATATTTATTATGCAATTTGGTGGCAGTCGTCACATAAACAGCTGAACGTATGTGAATTACGCAGGACAAATCTGCTATCTAACCAGGTAAAGTCCAAAGCTAGAGGCAGTATCAATGATAATGAAGTGTAACACAGAAGGATATGAACAAACATCACATATGAATGAAAGCTTTAATGCTCCATGTTGCTGTCCTCCAGCACTGCTGAAGGCACACTGAAGTTCCACAGTTCTCCACACACTTTCCACATTCTGTTTTGATCAATGTAATATTCATTGGCTCAGATTCACGCTTGACATTTATTAGGATTATGTCATCACTGTTCCTAATGGACAAGTGATGCAAGAGGTCACACAGCAGCTGACTCAGTGAAGTACCCAGGACAGAGACGGACTGCTGCACTGCTCATCAGCATCTAACTGTACCTTAAATTACATTTCTGAAACTGATTAGGACTTCAGATGGACTCTTGGTCATTAGACTTCCTTATTATCTATGCGGGCTCTTTCACATTGAAAATACTTCACCACTAACACAGATCACTTTAAATACTTAACTAGAATATCTACTGTACACTTACACTTGTGAGTGCCCACGTGTCTCCATCAACCCACAACAAAGCAACAAAACCTTGTTATATAAAGAATGCTGCCTCACTGTTGCAACAACAGCAAAACCATTGGTAGCATTTATTTATATTCTATTGTCATGTTTAGACACACTCTACCACCTTAAGTTTCATACAGATGCCCAGACAAGTTAAGTACTAAGTGTGTTTATGGAATCTGACAACTTTTCAGACAGCCACGGGCAAGCTCCTTTTTAATCTGACACAAAGGTGTGGTATTATGTGTATTATTAAGGATGGGTGCCCTGTTTTTTATTTTGGTAGCGTGCTACTGCTGTGGCACGTTTTTCCAGCCTACAAGTGGGCCATTCAAACCCCTAGTGATGATGTTTTTAGAGGATTATGGGAGTTATTTTTGGGGCTTCCTCCGACACTCTACTCTAATCCAGTGTCATGTCAATGCAGTGGCACAGCCATGCACATATTTCACCCTGGGCCTGGCGAGAAAGGGTGCTTACATAACATGGGGGAGCACTGTGCAGGGTACGGGGTGACATGCCCCGACACGGCCCAGGCTGAAACCCTTACAGCACCTTCTCCTAAAAATATCATCACTGCAACATCACTGTTTCTGAGCTATAGCAACTATTGTCAGTGCAAAACTGAGGCCCTGCAGACGTTGGTTTATTGCCTTTTAAGATAAGCGGCTTTGACTATCACTTTACAATCAAAATACTGCAGTAAAATAATGCATGAATTTATCATCCCATTCTCTTTGCAAACGAGGTCAGGTACAATTGTCAGTGTGCCACTTTTAAACCTCAGGAGTCAGATAGCATCACACTCACAAGGACGGTAATATGAAATGACTGTTGTGCACACTCAGTTCTCACGCAGCAGTTTTCAGTCAGACTCTGAAGGACAGCCGTCTGACAACAGCCCGTAAGCATACGAGCTGACAGACAGCCCTGTGAACAAACTATTAGAGACAACACAGGCAGGTTGGTTCGTGTACAGGCACTCAACTACAACCGTCCCTGTTCAGCATACATTCTGCTCTCCAGTTCTGAGCTCCGGCCCGCGTTGGCTGTGCGCTGCCGTTGTTCCTGCCAAATGAAGTGTACACCATATTAGGGTCATAATCCTTATTGTATTCTGATGTAACGAACAAAGGCATTATGAGAGCCGCCCAGACATGGTGCCTCACTTGCACTTCAGTTTTTCTCAATTTAACACATGAAAGCGACCAGTACTAATCTGTGCATCTCAGTTTTCTTTTGTGTCGTTTCAACAAAAACAAAAAAAGTGGGAATGATGAATAAAAAATTAGATAAATACGATCAAGAAAACATGTTTCTGCTCTCCATCTTCTCTTTTCTACTTTGAGACTTTGGTGCTAGATTAAAAATCCATCCGTGCAGTATTTTTACACGCACACAACAATGCCAAGAACTGGAAATATTGCTATAGAGGAAAGACCATATTCGGCTGCTGAGAATTTGTCACTTCTGCACAGTCACCGTTACACACACACACACACACACACACCAGTGAGCTCACTCTGCATTTGCTTCGTCACAAGTAAAACATCCTACCTCAATGTGAAGCCTTGGAAACCCCTGGTTTCTCTTGAATAGACAAAACTCAAGTTGTAGAGATGGAGTGGCTGCAGAAAGGCAGTCGAAGAGAAGCGTGCATGCAGGCGTCAAACTAATGGAGATTTCACTTTGCTCTCACTGGCTCACCATGCCCACCCCTTTTCTCCCTCATCTCTCACCCCTCCCATCCTTTGTGTTCCCTCCCTTTTCCCATCTCCAGTCTTTTCGTGCCATCCCTCTCTACTCCTCCTCCTCCTCCTCCTCTCCTCTCTTCATCCCTCCATTGCTGATCCTGCCCCAGCCTTTCGACTGTTCATCCCCTGTGACATAACGCAGAGCAAGAATGTAGCTTTGTTTGGAGCCAGCACACTACTTTCACGTTACATTGCACAAAAAAAATGGGCAGAGTGTCTTGTTAATGAGGTAATGGTGACCAGAGTAGCTGTTAATGTGTCAAGTCATGTGCCCCCCTTTATCAGCATAACCTCGTTCATAAGTAGCCATCTGTGACGCAGTGTTCGACATATTGCAACACCGGAAAACGAAACCCTCGCTACTGTTTTCGCAAAAAATCCCGCAAATCTCTAACCGAAAGAAGTTGTCGTTGCAAAAGCTGCACTTGAGTGATAATATCCGAAAACAGGGAAAGTTTGAGCACAGAGACCATTAAGAATTCATATGGCTGAGATGGCAAGACATACTCCTGCTAAGCCTTCCTTTGCGTGAGTAAACACCAGACTGGAGTTGCTTTATATCAGGATGCTTTAAATAAGCACTGTTATCTTCATTAAAATTAAGATTTTTTTCCCCAATAAGAAAAAGCAACATCTTATGTAACAGAACTACTATCAAACATTTAGTCTAAACTATGATTGAATGTTTCAAATACCCACAAAGTAGATGTAAGCATGACTCTCCTGACTGATAAGAGACCGGTTTGGTTTAAAATGTAGGTATTTAAAAAAATATATATATTTATAGCATTCATTACACTTAAATACTGTCTTGTTATTTATGTAGATAAGCTGTTGAGGATTCATTGTCCTATGTACCTTTTACAGTATGATGTTAACCTTGTGAATGGTAACGTGGCTGTTGTGGGGAACAGGAGCAGAGACTCTGGGGTATAAAACATCTGTACAGGTCGCTCACTGATGCCCTCATCTGGCTATTTTGAATTCTGTACATCTATTTCTACATTAGTTCAAGCATTATTCCTGTTCACTTTCCACTACATCCCAACTTCCTGTTCCTTCCTTGCTGTTTCTGCACAACCTTGTATAATTTTTGGTCATTAATACATCTAATTAGCACCAAGTAGTTGCTGCCTTTGATTCGACTAATAAGCTTTTACATCACCATTTCAATGGCGTCACTATTTTTAAGAGGGCAGAGTAGCTGTCTAAGTTATTCAAACTTGTTTTTAAATAGATGTGTACCCTGGAGTCTCTTCTACTCTGTTTTGCTAATAAATGCTTCAATTTTGAAAATTTTGGAGACATGCCAATCTAAAATTCTTGCTCATCTAAATATGAAACTACAAAATCTATTTTTGAATTCCAGGTGACTGAGTATAAAGTAAGGATAGGCATAAAATGGTGTTCCTCCGTCCATGCTTTGAAACTCACCCATCCCCCTTGCTGGATGATGCAGTCAGCTGCATCCTCCTCTAGGAAGCGCAACCCCAGATGCAACAGAGTTGACAATGCCTGGCCCTCACTTTGCAAAGCCTGGAGCAGGACCAAAGGCACTAGCACCTAGGGGAAACGGAAGTACAAGTAAAGGGGGAGGGGGAAAAAGACAGAAAAGTATTACAATGTATGTAGAAAAAAGCAGTTGTTGCACGTTTTGCTTTAAATCAGGCTTCAAATTCAACTCACGGCTGACTCACCTTGTCCCAGCCTCCACGTGTGTGTGCTGAGAGATCCACTGTTGTGTCTCTAAATTTCTGGTAGTCCAGCGGCCTAAAACACACAAACGCAATCACTGGTGTTAAACACAAGGTCTACATATAGCGGTTTCAGAACTATTAAATGCTCCGTATTTGTATAGCGCCTTTCTAGTCTTTTCGACCACTCAAAGCACTTTTACACTACATCTGCATTCACCATTCACACACATTCATACGCTGGCGGAACAGCCACCAGGGTCTTCTTTGTAAGAAGACACATCATAACCAGTATCCCACATTAACGTTTTTGTTAACCTACGAAGAGCTGCTAAGAAAACATATCTGGTCCAGGGATATTGCTTCTCTTGAATGTGTTACTTTGCAGTGGCTTGCAAAAGTATTCATAATCCTTTTCCACAAACATAAATGGATTTTATTGGGATTTCATGTGATAGATTGACATAAAGTGGTGCATAATTGTGAAGTGGAAGGAAAATGATGCATGGTTGTCAAAAAATTTTCAAATAATAATCTGAAAAGTTTTCAGCCTCCTTGAGTCAGTACTTTGTAGAACCACCTTTCGCTGCAATTACAGCTTCAAGTCTTTTGGGGTATGTCTCTACCAGCTTTGCACGTCTACAGACTGGACTTTTTGCTCTTTCTTCTTTGCAAAATAGCTCAAGCTCAGTCAGATTGAAGAGAGACTGTCAGTGAACAGCAATTTTCAAATCTTGCCACAGATTCTCATGGATACAGGTCTGGACTTTGACTGTGTCATTCTAACACATGAATATGCTTTGATCTAATCCATTGTAGCTCTGGCTGTATGTTTAGGGTTATTGTCCTGCTGGAAGGTGAACCTCCGCCCCACTCTCTCGCTGCCATGTTCTTTCCATTTTCGGATGATGGATTGAACAAAGCTTGGGATATTTTTTATAACCTAACCCTGCTTTAAACTTCTCCAAAACTGTATCCCTGACCTGTCTGGTGTGTTCATTGGGCTCCATGGTGCTGTTGTTTGCTAATGTTCTCTAACAAACCTGTGAGGCCCCATCCACACTAATACGTTTTTCGTTTTAAAACAGAGACCTTTTTTTTATTTTTATCATTTTCCTTCCACTTCACAATTATGCGCCACTTTGTGTTGGTCTATCACATGAAATCCCAATGAAATACATTTACGTTTGTGGGTGTAACGTGAAGAAATGTGGAAAAGTTCAAGCGGTATAAATACTTTTGCAAGCCACTGTATTTACATGATTTGTTACCATCTGCTTTTATATAGTCAGATTTAAGTTGGCTGGTACAAAGTGATTTTAATCAGATTCACACCTGAAACTCACTTGTGTTGTGCGAAGTTCTACGTACAGTCCTGTTAATCTGTTTGTCTTGTAACAGGGTTAGGGTCAGCCATGCTAAAGTAAAGGCTTTTACTATAGTCACAAATTGCGTGCCTTGGTTTTCTTCCTTTGTTGCATATGATTGTATTTATCCAAGGAACACTCCAAAAATCCGCTGTATAGTCAATGGGTAGTTCCTCAGCCGCACGAGTTCTAACCAGGACAAAGAACCTTCATTGGTTACCTGTTGCTTTTCAGAATTCACTGTCAAGTCGCGGTGCAGTACTCCTTTGTAGCACCAGACAAACTTAGAAATGGAGGAGTACTGCACCGCGACTCCAAAGCGCGATTGTTTGGAAGGCAAGTTGATGGATCTCCATTTCTCGTGCTACCGCATTAGAAAGCTGCCTCACCAGCGTACGCAAATACCGACGTTACCACAGCAAACCATGCACATAGGTTTGTGATGTCTGGACACACAAATCCGATCTGATCACTTGCAAATGACCAGACAAGTCATGACAAATCTGATTTGCCTGCAGTCTGAACAAAGCCTTAGACTTCCTTTTCACTCTTTTTCTTAAATGAACACACCGTATTTGTACTGTATGCTTGTTTGTTTAAGTATTTTTTATGTATGTCTGCATTAATGTCTGTTTATTTGTACATTTTTGGTGTTTTATGTTATTTTTGTGTAAGGCACTCAAACTGACTTGACCTGAAACTATTTTGAATTTTACAAATAAGTGCGTTGCTCAAGTGAGCCTCACTTATGTTCAACTTATTAAATCTACAATGGTTTGGTTGAATTTTTATTATCTGTCTGCCAATCAGCCTTGATTAGTGATATTTTAGTTTATGATTTCATTTACATTCAGAGTTAAATGCAAACTTTCAATCAGTTCCATTCAATCTTCCTCATTGACTCTTGAAGTTCAAGAGTTTACTAAGAAAGAAAGAAACTAAGCAGCAGTATATCAATATTGACTTTGTCATTCCTTTGCGTTTGTAACTCTCACCCTGTGGCCACACACAATTTCCTCATACTGTATGAATATAATGTGAAAATATTGCAGTGAGGAGAATAGCAATCAGTACTGAATTGTGTAGTTGCCGCACTGACCGCCACAGTTCTGTTTCCATGTGAGGTATATGTTTTGGATTACCATGGAAGCAGTCAAGAGAAGCGGCGATCATCTCAAAGGAGAGGTCACACAAACATGTTCATCCACACCAGTGGTGCCATAACAACTACAATCTTTTATGAAAGAAAAGAGAGCTGCAAACTCACCCTGTGAGGAGTGTGTGTACAGCTGCTGCCAGGTGTGTGTCAAGCTCTCTGGCCACCCGGTCACCCGCTGCAGCAAGGCAGTCTTCGATGGAGGTCTCTGGGTTGGCCGGATTGAACACCAGCGATGTGTGCTGGTCAAAGCCTGTAGTGGAAAAGGCTGCAAACACACAGACCACAGGCAAAATAAAATAAAATAGCATCTCAGACAGGCCCAGCAGTTGTGCGATTCCCATCGCCAGAACAGAAAACGTGAGGCGGTAAAACTCTGGAGAAAGGCAAGACACACATTTTGGATTTGTCAAAAGTTTTAAAATGTACTGCACATTCAGACACACTGGTGATAACTCAGTCAAATCCAAACAAATGTGTTTTTCAAACCGCACAGTAAGAATTTGAAAGACTACTCTGAAAGTTTGGGTTATTAATAATAGTTGGGAAGAATGTAAGCTGTCAGAGAGGGACGGCTCCTTATAAACTGGGCTTACACCAAACCATCAGTCACCTCTGCCTTGCTACACCACATGAGAGAGAAGGGTGGTCTGGAATGACGCTCACTCATGCTACTCAGAGAACTGTGGTTACGTAAAGAAACCAAAGTTCTCTTTCAAAGCATACATTTCATGTTTTACACTGACAAATATTGACCTCTGGATTCCTTTACCGTCTGCACGAACAACGAATGAGGCAAAGAAACACCGGAGACCTTACAGTACCAGTAAAACATTGAGATTTTTGATTGTGTATTTCCTTTTAATGCATTTATTGAGTAGTATCATAGTTGTGGTTCATATGCATCTGCGTTTGCACTAAAATGTCTACACAAAGCCATGTTGTTGTTTTGTCTGAACTATTATAGAGATTTGACTCCATAATGACTAACCTTAAATTTAAGACCTGAATTACTTGTTTTGTAGCTCATAAATGTGTGTGTGTGTGTGTGTGTGTGTCTCTCCACTTACAGGCAGCGATTTCATCTTCCAGTTGTCTCAGTTCTTCCTCTATCTGTCCTTTTATCATTGTGGTCCTCTCTCTCGCACTCTGGGCCTCTCCTAAGATAAACACATGACATATGAACCAACGGTCACACACACAAACACACATGTATCTGTATATTGCGCTTGTATTTATTGTTGTTAACAGCGTTTTTATGCTGCCCCTTTGGCAAGCCGTCTCTTGAAAAAGACATTTAAATCTCAACAAACATTTACCTGGTTAAATAAAGGGGAGATAATTAATATTTGCAGAGACGTTAGTAAAGGTGTGCACTGTATTACTTAAAGATAAAACAAACAAAAAAAATTATATAAACAAAAGTAAATATAGGATCAGCCTTTTGGCGTCTGCTTGACTCCAGCGTAATAAAGAAGTCTGCACTCTTTGCATGACACTAAATGCACACAGTCTGCAAACAAACCAGTTGTACATGTATGAACACTAACTTTCCTGATGGGGAGAAAGATGTTTGAAGGTGTGTGTGCAGCTACAGTAATACAGACACCCTTCGGACCACAACATTTGTCACATTCACACACACATTCGTTCACACCACCTGCTCATCAGGAGCGATGCAGTGCTTCCTATCCAATGACACTAAGCTCACCCCCCCACATACACACACACTTCAGAGGTTCAGTATCTTGCCTAAGGACACTTCGGTAATGAACCAGCGACCCTCTGATCACTAGACGACCTGCTCCATCACCTGAGCCACACACGTCATTCACTTACTTCTCCTCGGCATGATGTTGCTGAACTCAAACAACAACAAAAGAAATAACAATTTTGCCCTCTCATCTCATGCATGCAAGGCACCAACACACAGCTCATGCTTAAATTATTTACAATATTGAGTCTACACAGTTGGGGACATAATGGACTACTGAAGGGCCAAACTGACACAAAGGCTGCTTGGGTGTCTGACCAGGAAATCTCCGATTCACACATTCACATTCTGAATAAAGCCATTCAGCAGTTATTTGATAAGGAAGGGTTCCTGTTCACACACACACACTCTCTCAACCCCAAACACATTGGTTATTTCAACTATGGTTGCATGTGGAATCCCATTTGTTCACTTTTTTGCACAGCAGAACTGCAGACTAGCAGCCAATAGAAAATGAGTGAATAAATGACCTTTAAGTATCATTCTTAATAATTAATGTAACAGCTGAGTGATCGGATTCTTCAAATGAATGTGTTTTTTGTTTTGTTTTGTTTTTTAACAGAAATCAAATACTGACTTCTCTTTTTTTTAACAGGAAGGAAGAGGACACTCTTCCCTTATCTATTCTGTCTGTGTCCCTGCAGCTCATACATGAACGCCCTGAGGACCAGTGTTGGTTTTTCCTGGGCTTGGTGCTGTTTCAGCATTTAGTCAGACAGCTAGCCGGCCAGCTATTTTGCTTTGGTCCGTTGGCGTGTGAGTAATCCTACGGTGATTACACATGACAAGCTGTCAGAAATTGGACCGGGTCAGGCGTAAAGCGGGGATCAGCCACTCCTCTGCCCTTCTCCGCCCATTCCAAGCATGCACACAACAATAAAGAGGGACAGGAAATACAGAGAACTTCCCCTCTCTCTCTTTTTTTTTTTTAACATCTCTCCTTCTTGCTCAAAATGCCTGAGCATTTTTTTCTTCAGACGAGCCCTGTTCATATCCTGTGACAGAGGAAATGACAGGCATGGCCTAAAATGGTCCTGTCAAAACCTCCCAAGTGGGATGCGTCCCTCACTGTTAATCAATAAGATTTATCTGACCACTAACACGATGTGGCCATGGCTTCACTGCACAAAGTCAGAGACATGACAACCTGGTGGCTAGTGAGCGGTTTAGTTTCACACAACAGATTTATAAAAGAAAAAGGTATGTGACATATGCAAAACTATGTGCCAAATAGGTCAAAAACTGTTCAAAAAAGCATAGCTGTGTGTTTTTCTGTATGCCAGGCACATAAGGAACAAGAAAAAAAAAGAAAAAAAAAACAAGTTTGCTGTAAGCCTGAGATCATGGCACAAGGTTGCTATAAAAGCCTCTGTAAAGACAGGCCAGTGTTCAGCTACTTTGGAAACCATTTCGGAAGGACTGTAGCCTCAAACAACATCTACTTGTTAACAAGCACTGACTACTTCATAACTGTCATTTTTAAAAGGGCACACTAGTCTATGGATTTGTGTCTGTGCTAAAGTCAGAGAAGGCTAAACTGAGCTGGTGAACAGGTGGCAACCTGCTTACACCCCCTGAATATTTTTTGTTGCTGCCATGTGTGCACGTGCACACAACTCTATTTGTGTGCTGAGTGAATGCACAAGTGTGAGGTTTGCCCTAACGCACGTGTCACACACACCGCTACTCAAAAATCTTTCTTCTCACCTTGAGCCGTGGTCAGTGCCTGTGATCTACAAGCAGGCAGCATTCCCAGGTAGTTGAGCACAATGTACTTGGTTTCATAATGGAAACCCTCAGGCACAGCGGCGGTGATGGAAGCAGAAGAGGTGGAGCCTGAGGTAGCCATTGAACAGACACGTGTCAGACTCTCAGGCACATAGGTTCTTACAGTCGAAGCTGGACGTCTTACCTGAGGAAAATGACAGCCAGAGGAGGAAAACATCCTTGTTATTTAGGCAATCATGATTACTGCAGCACTGGCCAAAACACAAAACATGAGGGAATCCGCATCAGGCTCTGGACAAAGGTCATGACATCTGTTGTCAAACTATAAAACAGCTCTAAGGTATATGACATAAAACAAATGTCCAACCCATTCTTGTCATGAGCATGATAGCACACTGTCCTATGTCCACTGTTCCAGATGTTCACTTTCCCAACTGGCAAAGGGTGATGAGGCTAAACTTGATCAGTAGGTGTAATTTTGGCTAAACTGCATGCTGCTAACTGAAAACACAGATGGAAGTGGGACCAAGACATATCTCTCTCTTAAACGAGCACATTTTGTACTAAATGACACTGACACAATTCATACTATATCAAGTTACATAAGACACGTGGTGGACAGAGGGGCGTGAAAAGTCCTTCATTAGGAGCCAATACTGAACAAATGTTTAAAGGATACTTTAATATGGCGTGTTGCACTTTTTAGGTTTTCTCGACATTAAACACCCGTTTACAAACTTTCAGACTAGCAAATCTTGATCCCGAGTTCAGCCAGAGATGAGGTGACGCCTATGGGTGTCACCATGTGGACCAAAAGTGAGATTAATGTCAAGTTCGGCAAATAAAACCAAAAACATCCGGCTGAACTGTCAAAATAAAACCTCTTGCTGGCTTGTGGAATTCATAAACCGAGTAAATACCAAAGTTAATCACACTGAGTATAGAAATTAGAATATAAGTAAATAATGTTCTCATTATAACAGCACTGCTGCAAAGACTAATGTTACGATATAACGTTATACGCTGATAACGTTACTAAGTTAATAACCAGACATGGCCCGTTAATCGCCTGGCATATTACACAATAGGCTGTTACACTGGAAAGTCCGTTTAAGACAGACGAGCCGTTGCTGGAACATCTCAGCACACATGCAAGCTATAACATTAGCTAGCGTAAAATAGCGTTACACGTTTCATGCCCTATTTCGCAGACGCAAAACTTCATTTGAATTTAAGTTAAGCACAGCGGGAGTGGATTTCTTACCGTCCTTGTCTGTCCAAGTGCTGACAAGCAGCAGATTGAGGGGAAATATGCGACACAGTCCCCTGCAGGAGAAGCTGAAGAGGGTAGACCACCACTGGCAGGCAACAGTAGCACTAGCAGTGTGCTTTGGAGCGACACAAGCTAGCGACAATATAACACCAACCTTCCTGTCTTAACCTTCACAATAGTACTCTCATTAGTTAGCGGACAGAAGTGACACAGTTTAAAGTTAGAAGTGAAAACAAGATACTATATACTATATACTATATACCAGATACTATATATATATATAATATGGCATGCCATTTAGGAAATAGTATATATATATATGAAGTTTACCCGTCTGAATATATGGAATGTATATAATATATTCAAACTTTCAATCCATATATTCAGACTTTCATTCAATTAATTCAGGGTTCATTCAATATATACAGACTTCATTCAATATATTCAAACTTTCATTCAATATATTCAAACTTCCATTCAAAATATTCAAACTTTCATTCAATATATTCAAACTTCCATTCAATATATTCAAACTTTCATTCCATATATTCAAACTTCCATTCAATATATTCAAACTTACATTCAATATATTCAGACTTCATTCAATATATTCAAATTTCCTTTCCATATATTCAGACTTTCAGTCCATATATTCAGACTTTCAGTCCATATATTCAGACTTTCAGTCCATATACTCAGACTTTCAGTCCATATATTCAGACTTTCAGTCCATATATTCAGACTTTCAGTCCATATATTCAGACTTTCAGTCCATATACTCAGACTTTCAGTCCATATACTCAGACTTTCAGTCCATATATTCAGACTTTCAGTCCATATACTCAGACTTTCAGTCCATATATTCAGACTTTCAGTCCATATATTCAGACTTTCAGTCCATATACAGACAGTTGGCAGTTTGGAATTGTGTAATTTAGCTACAGAAAAGCGTGATTTCTCTTAAATAAAAATCATAATAATAAAAAAGGTGGAAGATACCATTAAATATGTCAAAACATATCGGACTGTCAAAAGTATACAAAAACTATCTGAACCTTAACATAATCATTTTCCTGACCATGGAGTTCTGGCAACACAGTCAATAAAAGCATTAATGAAATAAAGACGTTAATGATATTATGCTTGCATTTAAATATATGAAGTTATTTGTTGTATCATGATATAAAATTTGGGAGGGGCGTCCTTTTCTCACGCTAGCCTTGTTCAAGGACGTGACTTATTGCGTATTTGTCTTATTGTGAAAGTTATGACCGGATAATCTGTTCAGTGTTGTGTCGCTAACTCGACGTGAATCCAACAAGAGGAGAAGTATTTTCTCCCAACTGTCTCTGTGTTTAACTGTTCCTCTGCAAGTGATCGTGGGAAAGACGTTTTTACAGACTTTATAAAAACAAAAAATATTTAAGACATGGCGCTCACCGATGCTGACGTTCAGAAACAGGTAAAGTAACTTCGACAACGTTAGACCCGTTAACTGTTAGGTTTAACCACGTTTATCCAAGTGACCAGATAACTTTAGGTAACTTTAGCTAACGGTAAACACAACGTTAACTAACATGACGCTTGCTGAACGGGCTAAAGCCTGAACTAACTTACCGTTGTATGTAGCTGTTTACTCCGCACTTGCTGTCGTTACGTTTCGAGTTTGTTACTAAACGTGCTAACGTATTTTGTGTTTCAGTAATTTGATAGAATTGTGTTAAGCTAACGTTCCGTTGTCACGCATGGGAAGTTGAAATAACGCAACTTTAACGGTAGATAACAAGTTAACTTTAACTTCATCCGTCACGTTGATGTTTTTGTAGCCGTTAACGGAATCATGTAACGCCTTTCCATTGATGAAGTATAGGTTTAGTAAGAAAATGTTTAAGAATTGTGAATTGCTTTTTTTTTTGTTGACCTTTGGGAGGCATCTGAATTTGAAGAAAGTATTTTGTGTTTGTCTCTTCAGATCAAGCACATGATGGCCTTCATTGAGCAAGAGGCCAAAGAGAAAGTTGAGGAAATTGACGCTAAGGTAATTGAAGCCTGTCTGTCAGTCAGTCTTGTGATTTCTGCTGCAGTGACCGGTAACAGGCCTTGTCATACCCATCTGTTTACAGGCAGAGGAAGAGTTCAACATTGAGAAAGGTCGTCTGGTGCAGACTCACCGGGTGAAAATCATGGAATATTATGAGAAGAAGGAAAAGCAGATTGAACAGCATAAGAAAATGTAAGTTGTTGGTCGTTTATTGCCGGTTTAGGAAAGAATGTTTGTTTGGAGTTCAGTTATGGTATGGGTTTGCCTGTTCCTGTCATTGTTTATCACACACTTTGTCCAAATGCTTAGATTTGTACTAGTATAGTAGCTGTTTCCACAAATTTAATCAGTCCTTACCAGATACATTTGTTTTTTTTCTTCCCGCATAGTTTTTCGGTCCACTGGTCCCCCCAGTTATGGTTGTTCAGTGTGAATTAATATTTGTAACCACATCACCTTCCTGCCGTTACACTGAGCAGCTGTTTGATAGGTGTCCTGTAACATGTTTATGTCTAGCAATTTTTTTTCATTGATTTTTTTCCTTCCGCTCTCATAGCCAGGTGTCCAACCTGATGAACCAGTCGAGGCTGAAGGTGCTGAAGGCCCGTGACGACATGATCACGGTTAGAAATCAATGCTTGTGTCTTTAACTCCAATTACGCTTCATTCAGGAGTTAGCTCTGTGTGCCCACATTTCAGTTGAATTCCACCACTCTAATACAATGAAAGTGAATGGATTTTCTTTGTTCCTCTCATCATTGAAAAATACCGTAGACAAGCATTCACACGTCTCTGCCTATACGCTGTATTTTATCTGTATCTGTAGCCACAGTGTGTTTATGAACGTGAAATTCTACATGTGTTCTTTCCTCAGGATTTGTTGAATGAGGCTCGTCAAAGGCTTGCGGAGATTGCCAAGGACCCTGCTAGGTACTCTACCTTATTGGAGGGCCTGGTGCTTCAGGTAACAACACAACTGCTGTCACAGGAGGATACAGGTAAATCAACAATTGGTTTGTCGGTGCCGCTATGTTTCTGAGTTTGTGCACTTCCCTTTTCAGGCATTCTATCAACTGCTGGAACCAAAAGTTACTGTTCGCTGCCGACAGCAGGATGTAGAAATGATTCAGGTGAAGTTGAGCTGGCTCTAGTGTATGTTGTGATTATTGTAACAAGTTATTTAGGAAGGCACAGGTAATTGGGAGAGCCCCTGCACCTTGTGTTACGTTCGTAATAGCTTGGTGGTATTGTGTTTTATAAGTCTTTGTTTCATTGCTTGACAGGCTGCAGTGAATAAGATCATCCCTGTTTACAAAGAGGCAGTGAAGAGCAACATAGTCGTCAAAATCGACCTGGAACGTTTTCTTCCATCACAGATGTGAGATAGTTTAATGTACTTTAACATCAACTATTCCTCTTTGATTTTAAATGTTTTGTCAGGGTAGTTATTGTTCTCATTGTGACCATGACTGGAAAAGGGTGAACAAAAGGCATACTTAAGCTGAGTTTGTTTCTCATCTCATGTAATTATCTACCGTCTTTTTTTTTTTCTTTTTTTTACAGCTGTGGCGGAGTTGAAGTTTATAATGATAATGGGAAGATCAAAGTGTCCAACACTTTGGAAAGCAGACTAGAACTTACGGCACAACAGGTAGATTTACTATGATATCCTATATCTAAAATCCAAATCATCATTTATGACCTTATAACACTCTAAATGTAGTTTCTGCTGTTTGCCTGTGGAGGGCAGCACAGCCCACTTGGTTTTACAGTGATTAAATGGTAATTACCTAAAGGTTGGAGAGCTGAAAGTGGGAAAAATGATTTCGATAACTCAGGCAAGACTGTCATGCTACACACAGATTTACCATTCTTTCATTTAGTGTAATCTTTTTTAAGAAGGGGTTAACACTGATTGTTATTTTTACTTGGATTGTAGGTTCAATCAGGTAAAGCAGGAAAATTAATTAGTCATTACAGTTTTGCCTTTTATAAGTAATTAAACATTATTAATTCATGCCTTGTGTTTGGAGTACCTGCTCTGGTCACAGATGAACAGCTTTGAGCATGCATCCCAAATGGTTTCTGCTCCCTACACACAGCTGCAGATTCAGGCAATAGCATTGTCAGTACATGGGCCTCCTGTAAAAATGAAATGTATGCACTTCAGAAACTTTAATAAATCTTTTCACTTTTTGCAAGCAAGACGCTTTGTTTAGTCTTTAAGCTTTTGCACTTGTAACACTAGCAATAAGTTGAGGAACTTTGGATAAAGATGTAAATACAAACAACTAAACAGCCCCTCCAAGGCGATGTGTACCAGACACACGATAATGTAGTTGACTGTATTGTTTGTATAGTGGCAACATGTTTATATCAACAAAACATTTGACAAGTGTCTAAAAAAAATTTTGTTTTTAAGGAAATAAGTTAACCTCTGTTTATGTGTGAGGGGGGGGGGGGGAATATTGAATAATCTACATTTGTCATGTTTCTCTAATAATTTATGTCAGTAATTTATCATCCAGGTTTTTCCTATTAGTTAATTCTGTGAACTCATTTGTGTCCTGACTTTTACACCTGACAGATGATGCCTGAGATCAGAGTGAACTTGTTTGGTGCCAACCCCAACCGCAAGTTCACAGATTAGCAGTGGATTTGACGAGAGCAGGGCAAACACGGGTGGAACATATAAGGTGACCACAGACCATCACCATAGTGAACAGGAGTCCGTACAGTCCACCTACCAATCATTAGGGTCAAAGGAAACCCTGATTTACTTAATGGGATGCCACGGACATGTTCAAATATCTTTTTATTTTTGTACTAATGGACTGAATTCAACAAGTGCACTTTTGCTGATGTGCCCTCTATTTTACCTCTTCAGGGGTTGTCTTGAGAAATCTGTTGCTCTTTTCTACTTGATGAAAGTAATCAAAGTTACATTATAGGTCACCAAAGATACACATTTTCATTTCACATATAGCCTTTGATAACGTTGATTATCTGGGATGTTTGCCAAATGTTGCTTGACAGTTTGTGTGTGTGAGCGCGTGTGTGGGTAGAGAAAGCATGTTTACCATTGTTGTGAAGCACTTACAATACGAAAAAACCAAAGAAATAAATGTGTGTGACACAGAGAAATCAGCATGTATGAGATATCTTTATTTACAGCTTGTAAACAAACATTTTACTCGGGCTATGTTCATTCTACAGTGAGGAAAATGTAGCAGCCTAGGTACACTAGCCACGTCAAAATGTGCGTTGCATTAAAAATGTAAAAAAAGAGAGAGAGAGAGAGAGAAAAGCTTTTAGTGACACCCAGTGGACTAAAGTAATGGCAAACTGGCAAACAGTTGGCAAGACAAGGTGCCATACTCCCTCCATGGGTTGAACAAATATAATTGTCCTTGTTAAATTGGACTCAAGTACCAAATCGACAACACCAATTCCACTGAATTCATTTAAGACTTGCTTTACAAACTATCCGTATTGATAAGGCTTTAATTGCATTTATTTTAGTTTTTGTGCGCACATCATTTCAAGCAACATATTTTCATGTGTGACTAAGCAGTAAAATCAGCCCTAGGCTTCTCATGGGTTTTATTTAAACCCTTCCAAGCTGTGGAGAAGAGGAAGTCAAGGCTACGAGACAGCGGCCCAGCAGTCTAACCTGCGGCCTTTAGGCAGGAAGTGAGCTGCGTGTTAGGGTATATTGTACGCTAATACAGGGATTAAAGCATTACCATCCGATTAACAAATGACCTTAGAGACACTGGCAGCCAGAACCTCCCAATCCGGTGAAGGAATCCAAGATTACAACTCACACCCCACAGATGGAGTGGGAGGAACGCATAACGCGGTAGGCAGGAGATCAAGCTCCTTCCAGAGAAACACATCGAACATCGAAATCTAAGTGATTGTCATTTGAAGTGAAGCCCTAATACTCAGTTCAGACTGATATCAAATGTTATACAATATTACCTTTTAATAAAGATTAAGAGGGGAATGTGTCCCTTAACATATGGATGATGCACAGTTTTTCATCATGACCGAACAAATGGTCAGATTGCTTGGCATTTTAGTTAACAGCCTCAGACATCACGCAGCAGCTCTCTCTTAGCAAAACCAGACAGAATAAAGGAACAGTCCCCAGACATATTACAGCAAGTACGCAGGGATAACCCAGACAATTTGGGACACATAGCCTCGGATTAGTCACACCCACACACAGGACCCTGTTTAACCTACAGAATCATGTTGACAGCATTTAAAAACCTAGAGAAACAGGATTAGTGTGAACCCACTGGTCCACATATTAGTAAATAGAGCCTCTTCCTATCTGACCGTTCCTTCTTCCTTTGTTTAGTGGCCTCATTTCCCCCCCTCTGTATTCACCGTTCACCCAGTTGTGTCACTTTTTCACTGCAGATTAAAGCAGCAAATCACCTGTACAGAGGCTTCACAACCACCGCCACCAATGACGAGCCCTGCTATCCCAGCAAACCTAGCACCGTCTCCCCTACCCCAAGGAAGTATACACCCTGCGCAATGCCGAAAAGAGGAGCGATGACTAGAGCACGACACGTTGCACCCTTCAGGAATGCTGAGGGGCCCTCCCGGCTCATGATGCGCCTGCAAAAGTACACAGACCGGACAGCAGGAGAAAAAACAATGTTACAAGGCTCTTCACATGTATGTGTGTTAATGTTTCATCATAGACTAAAATCTTACCGTGTGCAGTCAATAATTCCTCTGTATGTGTCCTCCCCCTCTCCTTTCTGCAAGGTCTGCAGGCGAGTCTTTATGACTGTAAAGGTATTTAAAACAGAAAGTAATTTATCAGTTTAAAGATGACTGGGTGTCAGTTAACGCACACATCAGCCACTGTGGCCACAAATGAAACTCTCAGCATTATGGTAAACGCTAACATGAGGTGTAAAGTAGAGATGTCAAAAACTTTGAAATCACTCCATTTTTACTATTGGGGGCACCGTATTCACTCAGTGTGTACATTTATTTACAATAGAGTTCCCTGAAGAATTCCACAATGGAACAGAAAAAGCAGCTCCCATGGCATGCACACAACTTCGAACAATCCTACCATGCAATGCATTGAATTTCATAGACTCGAAAATTACTGCAAAGTGTCCGAGAATGAGAACAAGTGGGTGATTTCGAACACAGACAATATCTATCTCATACAAAGTTTGCTAACATTAGCTAACCTTAGCAACCATAAGCTATTGATCCAGTGATACAGACCCAGTGAGGCTGCAGCAACAAAACCTTTGAGTGGATTGAATTGAGCAAGGTTGCATTTTATTGCTGATGATTCAGCTTTTCATTTATAAGAGGAAGATTGTTCTGTTTCATATTTCAAGTTACATAGTTTTGCCTTAAAATGTTAAATAATCTTAAAGAGAAGTTGGTCTTGAACATACACTTGCTATCTCTGTGTATAGCAGAGGCTGAAGTCCCCATTTAACACCCCACTTCCTCTCCTACCATCTCTCTTTGTCTGTTTCTTGTTCCCACTCACCATCCAGTGGGGTTACAGCCACAGCTGCCACTGAGCCTGCGGTGCAGCCTGCCATAAAGGACTGCATGAACGGTGCCCGGGACTGCACGTCACCCTGGCTTTCCCGGCCCAGCGTGTTTAGGTTGGCAAACAGCGGGAAGTAGATCATTGAGAAGGGGACATCCCTGGAAAAATGTGATTTTAAAATGAGGTTAGATTAGATGAGATGGCAAGGAAAGTGAGAGAGAGAGAGAGAGCCTGTATTACATGTCAGGGCAAATGGGACAGACTGAAAACAAAGTGGGAGAGGGTGAAGTCACAGGAGAGAGAAAGAGAGAGAGACGTGGTCCCGGTCAGCTGCAGTGTAGCAGCCAGACATAGCTGCAGGACTTCATTGATCAGTGTTGATTGGCAGAGGTGTCAGGAAATACAACAAGCGCAGTGTGAGTTGCGCAGTGTGAGTTATGCAATGTGAAATCAGCTCATTAAAGCAGTGAGCTGGGGAACACAAGTGACTGTGAATGGCCATTTAAGTGACAGTTTTTAAAGGTTTCCAATATCAAATCAAAATGGTGGGAAATGACTGACAGTTGCTTCTCTCCTGCTGTTATTATTTTATGTTAAGTAAAACAAATGTCACCTCATTAAGGTGGCTCCTGCCCCCCTGTAGAGGCCCGCGAGTCCACGAGTCTTCAACAGCTTCACAGTGATGCCAGTGGCTGAGGGCCGTGGAGGAGGGCTCGGTTGCGCTGCTGCGGGGGCCACCAGCGATGGAGCTGGACCAGGAGCAGCAGCCTGAGCTGGAGTTGGAACAGGCCTCTGGGCAGCTGATGGTCAAACACACACTGTCCCAGGTTAGAAAAGACATGACTAATATAATCATGCATCCATATTTGACGGTTTTTGTTACTGAACAAAGGATGGGCTACCAACTTTTTGTTTTCCCATTTTTGACAAAAAAGTAAATGGGAAGTGTGCCAAAAGATGGATGCATCATTTATGTGAACACTAAACTCATCTTAAAAACACTTTAATGAGAAGCACACTTGTGACTAAATGTACACCAAATCAATAAAAATATGTGAGGACAAAATGCAATTTTTAGAGTTCCTAGAATTCCTGAGTAGGTTTCAGTACATTGCATCATTTTATACAGACCACCACCATTTTACACATTTTTACAGAGGGAAAAATCTCTTTTTAAATGCATTAAATCCAGTTACTAACTCACCGAGCCTTCCTGCATCCTGTAGCTGGATTTTAAGCATCTCCATGGGAGTGGTGACTACCACCTGACAGGTCCCAGCCCCACACCCTGCCAGTATCTCCCCCCACAGGGGCAAATGCCTGGAAACACAATGGAGTGTCAGTAACAGAAGTTAACACTAGGTTATTTAAAACTAGGTTAAAGAGTGGCATGCTTGGTTTCATGCAGCACAAATAAAATACAGATGCAACATGTGTGCAGGTATCTGCTGTAAAGCAATACATTCAGTGGTAGGCTATGTTTCAGCTGGACCTATAACGTAGCTTGAGGTGATTTTTATGCAGCTTTATTACTGTATGTGTCAGGATGTATCACTGAAGGACCAAAATCAATGTACCCATCCTTAGAGAGTTTCTGTCTGAAGACGTCATTGGCAGCCAGCTTGATGGCTTTTTCTGGTGTTACAAGAGTGAGGTTCACTGCTGCACCTGGAAAACACAAACAGGCTGATGACAGTGTTTCCACTAAGGTACACAAATAGAACAAACCTACACAGCAGCTTATGGCTCGCCACCGTGGGCCGATAGCAGGAGACACTGTTTGTTATGATAAAAAGATTGAGGACTCACTGGAGAAACAACAGCGTAGGTGGCCAGATTAAGCTTATAGTAAAGCACAATTATAGTGTTGTTTGTCACAGGGATTAGAAATGCAAAGAATACCTCTATAGCATCCAAAATAGCCCTCTGAGCGTACCGTCTTTGCCAGGCAGTCCAGCCTTTTAAAGACAACAAAGACAACATTGTGTGAAGTAATTAGGTCCTCCTGGAACACACCCTAACAATGTTAACTATTCACCATTGACTCTACTGACATTTAGGTCAAATAAGTAGTATTATGCTTTATTCATAATGATCACCGGTATTGCCTTTACACCATCACCCTCTGTCCTTTCATAACAACAAACTGGGACCACTGTCACAAACTGTATGAGCATTTCTGTCAACACTCTTTTTTTTTTCTATGCAAAGAACAGAACAAATCCAACCTCCTAAGTGGGCCTTGAGGGGAGTTATCCAAGCTATTTTTCCGTCTCTGACTCACAGTGGAAAACCGCAGTCTAAAATGTCTGTGCTGGTGAACACAGGATGGCCACGCCCAATCAGCCAGCAATATTGATGCCTACCAGATGTGCACAGTAAACAATTCAGGGTCTGTGTGTCTTTTAAGGACACCGTCTTTTTCTCTAATGTGATTTTTGTTTCAGATTAGAAATTCACAAACTGAGGTAATGGAATGTGAAATTGTTTTGGAGCATTCCTTTGAATGTTTAAAAAAAATCAGTGAATACAATCTGCCATTTAATGTTGCCACGACAGTCCTTTAAAACACACGCTGCATACAGCCATTCCCC